ATATATGGTCAGTATAAATTACTGCAAAAATTCACCAAGTGCATTTTAGATATAGGTTAAGTTTCAAAAATTTGTTTGTGAATTACATTAGTTTATAAAATTAAAATTTTATATATTTTTAATACTATACTTTGGATAAACATATAAGAGAAATCAAGATGGTATCCAAAAATAATTTTACTGTATCCAGTTGTTTCTTATCAATTATCTAGCCGTTTCCGTTATTGATGTAGTAGTGCCTACTACTCTGCGCCATGCTGTCCCTCTGTTGGCAACCCTGTATTCGTTAATTATTATTTAGTTATTTTTATTTTATATATTTTTGTATATATTATGTGAATTTGATCTTACCTCCATATAACCAATGTCCAAGTGACTGAATGTTACATTATTTAATAAATAAGTTTTTAAAAAAGAAAAATTTAATGGATAAAAGTTTTTTCTCACTCGCTTAGGGATCAGAAACACCGTTAAATGTTCCAATCCAAGCAGCTGACACATAAAAAATAAAAGAAGATAATTTTTTTTTTTTTTTACAAAGAGATATAATACTAGCCGTTGGAGTTGTCTTGTTTCTTTTGTTATATCCAAAAAGAAGCTACGTTAATGTAGCGCATTAACCGTAGACATTACACCGTGTCCATTCGAAGGTCTTCAATTAGATACTTGCATCAAACTGGACGCATATAATTATCACGTTTCGTATACACGAGCCGCTATAGGAAGATAGATCATGGCGGCTGTAGGCGGAAGGATACAAAAAGAACAAGGAATAAGATGTGAAAGCCATGCAAATCCGAGGGCTCAACAGGTTTTCGAGCCAGTGATTATAGAAAATATATTTTTTTAACTGTTATATCAAATAATAGCATGTGGAAATCAGAATGTTTCCTCAAAATACATGCTATTAATTTATAAAAATAAATTTTGAAGTAATTTAAAAAAAAAAAGCAATAGTCATTATATACTATGCATGTTTTTTGTTTTTTTTTCTATAAATTATTATAAGAATCTAAAGATACATCTTCAATACTATAAGCTGAAAATATTTGAACAATTACAGTGAAATTAAATCAATTTTATTTTTAATATGCTTTAATGAGCTCTTAACTGTCTTATTAGATTAATTAGTTATCTAATAGTCCGTTGTACAGACTCATTTTTATTATTTTAGGAGGATTTACGGGTGGGGAGAGGGCTTTCTGGCTGAAGCCCCTCCCCCCAAAATGGTAAAATGTAACCATGTTTTATGGTAAAAAATATTAAAAAATTATGTCTTAAAGTATTATTGCTCGTTTAATTACATTTAATAGGACTTCAAGTATCACTTAAACATAATTTTATATAGGTAGTTAGTATTTTTCTGTATTTCCAAAGTGATTATCGTTATATATATGAAAAAAAAAGCTTCCGGGCTGAAGCTCTCCCCCCCCCCAAATTTAATTCCTGGATCCGCTAGTGACAGCCACCAAAAACTTCATGAAGACTCCATATCATGGCAACTTCCGCCTTTTTTATTGATGAAAATTTTCGGAATTGGGGGGTTTTCAATCAGATCGGCAACCTTTGTATTAGGAACACCCATTAATTTGATAACAAAATCGAGAATAAAGGTGGCCTACAAAAATATTGGGCCGTTTGGAGTAACCCCCACCTCCAACATGCCAAAATAACGAGATTAAATATAGGCCAAGTATTTTTGTAGGCCACATTTCTTTTTTTTCTGTGTTGAAAATATTTTACGATTCAAGGGGAAAGCAAGTGAGTATTTATGAGTTTTGTGGAACTAATTAAATTAATTAGGCGCAAGGTACTTTCCGATGGAAAAACGAAATTCTAGGATCCCTTGAGTGATAGCTTATCCTATGAAAATACGATTTTTTTAAAATTTATTTATTACGAAATAACTTATTTAAGAACTTTTTTGACTCATTTCAACTAATTATACAACAAAAAATCTTTTAAGAAGTCAGCAAAAAAACATCTAAAATATATTTAATGATTTAAAACAAAATACTCATATGTGGAATATATGAGTTAACTATGTCAGAAAATATTAATACAAGTATTTGAATTACCTTGAAAATATGTCTTTTTGCCGCTCTCAGAACAATGTGCGGTGTTGCATGGCAACAGTCCGCCAATTCTTACTTTACTCTATACTTAAAGATTATCTAAGAAGTGGAGAGCTAGGAAGTGAAGAGCTGATCTTTCATAGGCACGAAAGCTTACTTAGCTTTTGAAACTGTATTTAATAATAATAGTGTTCGCCCAGTGGTCGAAATTCGACCACAGCCATTAAATATTTGAGGAAAACATAATTAAATAAAAAATAAATTCAGTAAATAAAGAGTGAATCACGATTCGAAAATCCTCATTTATTAATATAAACAAAATTTCAATTTCAATTAAAAATCGAGCTTAAATTACTTAAAATTATTTATAAGTAATACAAAATAGACTCTTTCAAAAATATTTAATTTCCATTTTAATTTATGTGTGTTATTATCACAACAAATTAATGTTATGATTAAGCAAGTAAAAAATAAATATAAATTAGCAATTTCAACCGAGTTTGAATCCATTTTTATGCAGAACTTCTCTGAAAACAATGTTCTGTTATTGTTTAGTACGTAGCCTTGACCATTGCCATTGGAAATATAAACTTCAAAATTTTAAATGAACGTGCTCTACTTGCTGCCACATATAATTGTCCATGCGAAATTACTGGACGTCGCAATAATACACGAATTTTTAAAAAAACTTTGACTCTGCGATTATGGTCATTGCAAATGCAGCTATTAATAAGAATGTTGTTCTTTGAAATTCTAATGGAAGTATTGTGTCAGAAAATATTAAATTGATTCTTGGAATTAAAATGCTTTTATTAAAAGTAGCTCCCGTCATTACTTCACTCTCATTCGTGTTCCATTAACTAATGCTTGTGCAGTATTTAAGTTAAGAATGAGTATAACTATAGAATTTATTTTTAATTTATGAGGTAACATTCCAATAACATTCAATGATATCATCTCTTCAAATAATGGTCCCGATTACTTCATTAAATGTAAAGTTTTCGATTTATCAAAAACCAAAATAAAGGAAATCGACTTTGCATAAGAAAAAGTACTAAATGTTTAAAATGATATATCTCTGCAACAAATAGTCCGATTTCGGTGAATTTTTTTTAGGTAAGTAGCACTCCTACGGCCGCTACGAATTCTTTCATTTCGGAGATAATTCTTATCAATTTCGATGATTTTTTTTTTATTTGTAGGGAATTCAGGTATCTTTCAAATAAATATCTGTATTATCAATAAAAAAAAATGTGTACTTTTTGAGTTATTCGCAAATAAAGTACTGAATTCATCATAAAAATTTATGCAGATTGTTTTCGGGAAAGTATGTTATATACATAAATTATAAATGTTTCAAGGAGAAGACTAACCAAGTTTCATTAAAATCGTTAAAGCCGTATTGGCTCTACTGTTTAAAGCGAATCACGTTTTTCGGGCGCCATTTCGAAAGGAAAGGCCTGATGATAATGAAACGTATACAAAATACAAAAACGTATACTTCTAAATATTATTGCAAAGTTGTGTCAAAATTCCAAAGTCAAACATTTTTTCTTCACATCATTTCGATATTAGTCCTCATATACTTTCAGAATAGCCCTTGTTTTAGAGCGTTCTCATAACATAGTTCGAGATATTATTATGTCAGTCAATACATTTGGGCTGTGACAGCACTAGGGAGTGAGAAAACTGTACTTCAAATTTTACATTAACTTACCAATATATGTAATTAATGCTAAGAAAAAGTATGGTAAGCGTGAAAAATTTCGAATCTCAATTTTCAACGGAAATACGCGTTTTGAGTCTAAATAACCCCTGAATCTAAATAACCAAGTCTCACAAAAAGGTCTCTGTATGTGAACAGCTTAGCTCGAAAATTAAAAGTCATGCGAAACTGAAATTGCGTATCAAAGGTTTGTATATGCTAGAAATATTACAAGCAACATTTACGTTAAAATTGGCTAACTGCAAGTGCAACTTTAAGTCATCGATTTTTACTATTTCCTCGAAAACGACTCCAAATATTTTGATTAATTTCATTATTTCAATGTAAAATTAAGTGATCTTTAATATAATGTAGGTCTTATTCTATGTTCTCTAATGGTGCTTAAATCACTAATTTTTAAAATGTCTTCCTCTAAAGTACCTTCAATTTTTTTTATTTGAAGTAAATAACTGTTTCAAATAATAACCTGTAATTTGGGCAGAAGCCCCATCTAAAATTTTAAACTATAACCATATATTGTAAAAAAAATATAATTTATTTCTATACAATACATTTTTTTACTAAAAAAAAAATATAAAAAAAATATTTTTCAGTCGTTGACAGGTGCAGATTGATATTGATAGTTAAAACAATCAATAAAAAAAAAATCATCTCCAAAAGTATTATTGTTCGTATAATTTAATAGGATTTCAAAAATCACTTCAACGCCATTTCATATAGGTAGTAAGTTTCTTTCTTTTTCTAACAAAGTAATTATTGTTATATATATAACAATAATCGGCTGAAGCCCCTCCACCAAAAAAATAAAATAAATTCTGGATTCGCTAGTGAATGTAACAAATATCGTTTAGAACGATTTAAACTAAAAATTGATGGAACACCGGCCCATGTAAAGAAACCAACGGAATTGAAAAAACAATTAACTACATTAAATTATTGAATTATATTTTAGAAAAACAATAGGCGCTAATGGAACCAGCACTCGAAGTGATATTAATAAATATCAAATAAAAAAAAACCACATATATACTTTATTAAATCTCATTAAAGGTGATTTAAACTTAAGTTCCGAAATAACTCGTGTTTAGTTCACCAAATTCAACCTTCAGCGCTGCAATCAGAAAGTCATTTAAAGATATATAAAGAAACAAATAACCATAATTTTAAAATGTTATCGTTTAATTAAATTATCTTTATTTTAATTAAACGTTCAATTCATAAATATTTATGATTGATATCTTAAAAATATATTGATTTTCATAGTATTGATTATGTAGGCATTGGAATAATAGAAGCACGCTATCCTAATTTCGTAGTTGACGAATTGTTTTTGTAGTGGGGTCAAGTTTGACCTATGTAGTAGCTTTTGAGGGTGAATTGATTTTGGATTTATACATTCTGTGCTTTATTTCTTATAACCAATACAAGAAGTGAGAAAATATTCGAACTTTCAGATATTGAGAAAAGTACGAGGAGGTACAGTGGTAGTTTTGTCACTATTCTGACAGAATGCAAACTGCAGAACCTGAAAGTGCAGCCCAAAAAAGGGAATATGATGGTAAATATTGTTTAATTGAACTATTCATATTACGATATTTATTGTATTTATCGTGTCTTTGATTTTTTAGTTATTCATTCAAACAGCTAGAATAGTCATGAAGCATGTTCTTAGTTCACACATAATCAAATAATTCATCATTAGTATTTCAGATATTGTTTAAAATAATCTGAAATAATAATAACATGTATTTTCGTGATTAGAAACAAAAACAAACTTAGTGTGATGTAAAATTTAATGTTAACTGCTTCCCCTACTATATTAACCTACATAAAATATTTGTAAGTTCACATGTTTTCATTTGTAATTTTATTTTGTATTGATTTAAACTACAAATATCTCTCTTTCTTTATAGGTTATTTCTTCAATCTTTAAACAGATGTTACCAAGATACTCTATCCCTTAGTAATTCTCATTCAGTTATTTAGAATTCATAATCAAAATTAAGTTCTTTTCTGTCAAACTTAGAAATATGGTGTCATTCTAAGTTAGTTTTTGTTGTTTCGATATTGTCACAATATTTCATCATAGGTTCTTATTTCAAATGATTTTACTTGTCTCTTAATTTGGTCTTTTATTAATTATTTAGCAATGTGGACCCAAAAGAAAAACATACTCTTATCTTATCAGTTTATTTATGACTAGATAATTCTTTAAGTATTTACACTCAGCTTCCATTATTAATTACATATTTTAAGAATGTTTTTTTTTTAATTATCATTAAGAATATAAATTTATTTTATTTTCACTCCATTAAAGCATTACAAGGGTTAGAGTAAAGTCATATACTTTTTGTTTAATTACTTTTAGGATAGTAAATTTAACTGAAAAAATTGAAGGTAGATTACTATATTTCTGACCTAGAGTTGTGTCAGTGAAATCTAATTTTGGTACTAGTTCAAATGAGTTCCGCACAGATAATGCATGGTTCACAATCACTTTGGTAACACTTGTTCATGAAGTGTCGAATGTATCTGGATTTATCCGATAGAGAATAAAGGCGACCGATCTCTTGGGTCAGTTAATAACTTTCCCGCCATTACTTCACATGATCCTGCACAGATTACACTTGGTACACAATCACTTCAATCACACTTGTTCATAAAATGCCGAAAACAGTCAAATGTTATGACGTCAGCTGTTGCCCTAACCACACATTTCTCATGAAAAATTTCACAATTCCCATGTTGAGACCATCAACAAGAAAAATAAATATTGTGAAATTACATTCTGTGATGTAATGATTAAAGGTTTTTTTTATATTACTATTTCTTTTCCACAGCTGCATAATATATCCCTACTGTTAAAGCAAAAGGTTCTATATAATAATTGAGTTATTTTTTTCTGAAGAGCGTAAAAACTTATTATTTCTTAAGATTTATTAGTTTTTTTTATATTAAGATATAATATTCGATTTCTTCGATATAATGGTTCACTGTTTTCTAGTCGGGGATCCTTTTTATTAAAATACTGTCTGATTTGAGATTAGATTGCGCATCTAGTTTGTGTAACTTTTTGAATTTCTTTTATATGAGGAACACTATTTTGTAATAGTGTTGTAACTTAAGTAATTTAATCATTAAATAAATATTGAACGCTGGGAAATATTATTGAATTGATAACACATAATTATAAACATATTTACAATGGAAAAGTTATCACACTCCAAAGATAAAAGTCGGCTCATGCTGTAAAACTGTAGACAGTTAAGGATATAAAAGTACTTTAATGACGGGAAAGTTATTAGTAACTGACTCAAGAGATCGGTCGTCTTCGTTCTCTTTCGAATAAATCTTGATGCATTTGGCACTTCATAAACAAGTGCGACCAAAGTGATTGTGAACCATGCTTTATCCGTGCGGAACTCTAGTGCACTAGTATCTTAATTTCAATTTAACTTAAAAGATAATAATGGAAATCATATAAACAATTAACTAAACAAATGCTATAAGCCTATTTTTGATATATCAAGATATTAAATATATTATGTTCTGCAATAATTATTGTACGATAATTTTGGTTTGAACTGTTAAAAACAGCCCAACCTAAATTAATTTTTATATTGATTCTAACACAAACCATTATAGCCCTGGAGCCAGGGCCCAAAAATTGACCTGATCGCAGGCGAAGGTTTGATTGTAAATTACGAAAGTGTATGTTATTCTGAGTGTAAAAAACCTTGTCTGCCGTTCCGGAGCTGCTGCTTTCAAAAATGGCGGCTGATTTAAAGAATATTAGGCCAATAATTTGAGGATCGAAATGGGAAATCCATTGCGAAAAATGTGAGAAAAGTTTCTATTTTTTTAACTTGTATATATGGGTTTAGACAAGTAAACAACAAAATTGCTAACGCAGGCCACCAAGGGAAATCTTTTTACAGCCAAAAAAGTCAGATTTTTTTTGGGTTTTTCATCTATAACTCCTAAACAATGCATCAAAACGAAAAATATGTTCTTTAATAAATTAAAGAACGTTAGAGCATCAAATTTCGCATATACTCAGTATCAACTAATTTAATGTAGGTCATTGCTGCGAACAAAATCGGTAATGGCTAGAAATTGGTAATGAAGGTAAACGTGATTTTCAATATTTCAATAGTATGGGTGTCTATTCTACTGAGTTAGTTTCGTTTAAAGTCTGTTACATGCAGTATAAGCCTCTTTTCCACTTCTCAATAGCAGAAGATTTTGGTAAACAATGTGCCGAAATATACCGAATTTTATATAGGAATAACGAATCCCGATTCGAGATATATAATTGGCCAACAATAAAAATGTCAGTACCCAGTATACGCAAAATTTGATGCTCTACAACTTTGATTCTATGGGATTTTCCTCTTAGGGAACCCATTTCCAAGTTACAGTGCCATTTATAGTAATTTGTCCGAGTTTTTGGCAAATTTGGGAAAACTCGGAGTTGGTTGACTGTGGTTTTACACCTTACCGCGAAACCAAATTTTAAAGTTTGTACTAGTTTGACACAAAATTTAACGCTCTTTAATTTTTTAAAGAACGCATTTTTCACTTTGATGCATTGTTTAGGAGTTATAGATGAAAAACCCAGAAAAAATCTGATTTTTTTGGCCATAAAAAGTTTTCCCTTGGTGGCCTGTGTTAGCAATTTTGTTTTTTACATGTTTAAACCCATATATACAAGTTAAAAAAATAGAAACTTTTCTCACATTTTTCGCAATGGATTTCCCGTTTCGATCCTCAAATTATTGGCCTAATATTCTTTAAATCAGCCGCCATTTTTGAAAGCAGCGGCTCCGGAACGGCAGACAAGGTTTTTTTTACTCAGAATAACATACACTTTCGTAATTTACAATCAATCCTTCGCCTGTGATCAGGTCGATTTTTGGGCCCTGGCTCCAGGGCTATTATTCATCTATTCATCTTTGTTTATAAAAAATGAACTTAAACTAAAGTAATTAATATTATAAATCTTTCCATGATAAAATGTATGTAGACAAGTTGTGAAATATTTCTAACTTGCGTTTCAATGTTGCTGCAGTTAAAAAATGTATCAATTAGAATTTGATAAGCTTTTATTTTTTTATGACAGCGATTACCGCAATCGAGTCAGGTTAGGCAAGTTCCTAAACTAAGTGTTAATTTAAGCACGGGAGCCTTTCTTGATATTGAATATGTGTTTGTAAGAGTCTGGCACCCAGGACTAATTTAAGCACGGGAGCCTTTCTTGATATTGAATATGTGTTTGTAAAAGTCTGGCACCCAGGACTAATGTAAAAATTCTGTAGGTTTTTACCACCTACATACTTCCTCATTATCTGTTCTTTCCTTACTGATATATACTTCAAAGTAAATCACAACAATGCCTATCCATTCCTTTTTTTTATCAGTTTGCTGGTGTTCCCCAAGGTAATATCCCGAAGCCCTATCCTTTACACAGTTTATACAGCTGACATTACAACACTCATCACAACCTATGCTGATAACATGTGTATCCTATCAATTAATAAAAAATCATCAATTGCATCCCAAACTCTCCAATCATACATCACAAACCTTTAAGAATGGTCTCTAAACTGGAGGATTGAAATAAACTCCAATAAATCCCATCAAATTGCGTTTACCCTTTGTTCTAAACCTACGGCTTTCTGCCCTACAGTATCCTTTAACAATACCCCCACTTATCTCTGTTGAACAAATGTGATACCTAGGACTCCACCTGGACAAACGACTCATTTGGAATCCTCATACCAGACTGAAACATCAAAAAACTGCTCGACGTTTTTGACTACTCCAGCTCTAACTAGACAAACACTCTAAACTTCCAATTACTTAAAAAAGACTCATATATATATAACTATAATAAGGTCTATTTGTACTTACGGAATCAAGCATTTTGGCTCTAGTGAACCGTCAAATTCCTCTCTTGTTCAATCCAAAATCCTCAAAGCTCCTTACTTTGTCTCAAATAAAATCATCTATAACAACCTTAATTTACCATATGTTTCCAATTTAGCTCAATCCAGGTAGCTATCCTTCCATAACAAACTTCTAAACCATCCAAACCCTCTGAGGCGTCTGACAAGAAGATAAGGAAAAAAAGAAAAACCTTCTAATAATGAACTTTAATTTGAGTTAGTAGTTTCTCTTCATGTTGTACATGTCATGTTACCAATTTCATATTTACTTTTAAAATAAAAAAAATTTTCAGTGGAAGGTTATCAGTCCTAGAAGGTTACAAAACAAAAAAGAAATAATATATAAGAAAATACTTATGTTCTAAATTATTGAATTTTAAATCAGAAATAAATATTAAAAGTAAATGAATGAAATGAAAATATATTGCAGGTTTATCCCGAGAGGAACGCCGGAAAAGACGAAAAACAAGATGGGGTGGGGATGAAATGGAGAAATCATTTATCCTCGGTATGCCTACAGTTTTACCAACCAATTTGAGCAAAGAACAGGAACAAGCATATATCTGTAAGTATTTTTAAAGTTTTATTAATATTTTTAATTTTTACTAATAAAAGAACATTATTAAATTTTATATTTTAATTTATAAATTATGATAAATTGTTATTGACATAAATGTATTCTTAAATTTTGGCTTGGCCTATAATTGGTAAGTTTGTACTTAAATTTATTTATAAATTGCTATTATATCCTAATTCTTTACTTAAGATATTTGTATTTTTATTTTATTAATTTTTGTTGTAACATTTTAATTGTCCCTATATGCTTGGAAAGCTTATTTGTTTCTATGGTTATTAATAATTTCACATGGCATATCAAATGTTAAATTTGGACTAGTTTCTAATTGCAAATTTTAAATTATATTAAAATTTGCAATTTACTTGCCTGGAATCGACTTGTTAGACTATAAGCTATGTTGAGTTAGAAATAGATTTGTACATTTTTTAATATTTTAAAGGGATGATCTGAATAAAATGGGATATGTTGTATTTGTAATAACAGATTTTTCTTATTTCCGTAAATCTTTTCTTATCTGTTGAGTGACCAATTATTTAACTGTCACCACTTGTATTTTGGCAATTTAGTTTGATCTGTTAAACTATAGTTGCATGTTAAATTTTGTAAATAAAACATTTTTTTTTTTTAACTGTATTTTCCGTTTGGTGAGGTTAGTCAAAATGTTTCACATAATGCTAGATTATTTAAATTAAGTAAATAATGCTCCTACCGATATTTAACCTTTAAATGTTCTGTGTCTTAAGGTATTCCCAGAATATTTAATACATAAAAAAAGTCTATATTTAAAAAAAAGGTCATCATTAATACTTCCTATGTCCTATTACTTAGGATATGCGATAGATGTTCCCTGTTCATAACATCTAATGAGCACAGATTGGGCCATCTGTTTGTTGGCTGTCTATTTTTATTTTACTATGTAGTGGTGATTCATACCCACAATACTCAATCCACTTCAGCTTGTACTTCAAGTTCGTAACAGTCATGTTTTGATTGGATATAATATGGTTATCTAGCATTATATTATGGTAGTTCCTTGTCCATGTTGATATAGTGTGAATAAACTATTTTAACAAAAAAAAAAAAAATCTTACAATTATGCTAAGTCCTCAGGCTTCATCACTATTTATACGGGATATGTAGTCACCTATATTTCAAGATCCATGATTTGTCATTCTAAAATAAAATCTATGAAAGTAGCAAAGAAAAATGCACTGCTATGTGCTAGAAGTAGATAACATTTGATAATATCTGTAATTGACCTAGGTATTAACCCTCATTATTCCTGAAAATTGTATTTAATCAAATTAACAGTAATAGGTGTTATGCATGCCCTATGCATCGGATTACAGAAAGACTTATTTAATCGTCCATTCCTATGTATTAACTGCCTACCACAGTTCTCAGCCATTATATTTCTAACAATTACATTAATTTTAGGTAGTGTAATTGTGTTAATGTTGGCCAGTGTTTCAACTGCCTCCCGCAGTGCTACATCTTACGCCCTGATAAAGACCTGCAAAGTGGATCGAAACGTTGGCAAAAATTAAATAATACTATTTGTTTAATTTAGTATTTATTTGACCGCACCCCTCGATCAACTCCTTCTCACTTAAGTTAATTGTAATTAAATTAAATTGAACTCCATTTGTAAACTCCATCTTCTTAGATAATTATCCTTTTCCCTATTGCATTTAACTGTATGCAACATTAGCGAAATATGTTTATTTGTATATACTAAATTATAATAACATAGTCTATTATATTTACTAAAAAGTAGAAAACTGTTAGTATTTAAGTTGTGCCGGTATTAATATATATTTGTCTATATATATAAACGAAGCAGCTTTTGCGCTGAACCTCTCCCCCGAATTAAATCCTGAATCCTCTATTGGTTTAAACCTATTTGTTTCCTGTAAAAGAGCCTTAGTTTGTACTTCTTTCTGCTACTTAAAGTTTATTATTGAGAGTATAGAATTATTTTTTTATTTATTGAAAATATTAAAAGTTTCCTTCTATATCAAAAATGTTCAAGGGATCATGATGCCATTCTCCTTCATTTACTTTTTTAATAGATTTTTATATTGTCGAAGACTATCATAAATATTAATATTTTAAAATCTAAACATGTGATTAATATCTAATGGTAACTATAGCACCTAAGGATCTTTTTGCATGAATTGTGTGTTATCTCCAAAACAGTGCATTCTAGAGCTTAAAAGTGCAAGGCTATCTACTTTTAAATCTTTAAAACACAATTTATTCCGTTTTGATTCATCATCTTAGCAATAGTTTAAAACCTCTTAATTTTTTTTTCCTTGTAGTCCTAGTAAGGTTTTAAGTTTTTAAATTGGTATTCGTAATTTCTCCAAGAAATTCCCTTTTATTTGATACTTTATTTATCTAAATTTGTCGATCCTGAGAGCCGAAAATGGGATCTATGCTACTTTATTACATGTAGTATAAGTAGCATAGATTTTTATTATTAGACTTTAGCCGAATGATTGTCCTTGTGAAATTTATTGACATTTGTTTTCTTTTGATCAGTTTGATTATAATTTTTTTCCTATTAAATAAATGTTTCGTTATAACTGCTTATTAGTCCATGGTACAGACATCTTTTTGTCAAATTATTAACATCCGGCTGAAATTTTATAAATAGATTCATCTCATCATAACCTACAAATATTTTATTTATGAAAATTCTCAGAATTGGAGCGTTTTTAATCTAGAGATTGTCAAACTTTGTCTATTTAATTAGGTACTAAAAACTCATAAATACCCATTTGCTTTCCACCTAGATCATAAGATAATGTGATCACAAAATCAAGAAAAAAGGTGGCCTACAAAAATATTGGGGCTGTAGGTCATGCCAAACGGCTCAATACTTTTGAAGGCCACCTTTTTTCTCGACTTTGTGCTTAAATCATCTTACGATCCAAGTGGAAAGCTAATGGGTATTTACGAGTTTTTAGTACCTAATTAAATAGACAAAGTTTGACAATCTCCAGATTAAAAACGCCCCAATTCTGAGAATTTTCATAAATAAAATATTTGTAGATTACAATGAGATTAAGCTATTTACGAAGGTTCAGGCAGATGTTAATAATTTGATTAAAATGGGTCTGTACTATGGACTATATATGTCATAAGACCATTGAAATGATTTGTCATCACTTTGCGAATCCTTAAAAGTATAAATAAGTAAATTAATGTACTGTCATATCAGTCCTGAGTTTCTTTTAGGTGTAGTAGTTTAAGTATGCATTCAAGGTTATTCGCTCCCCAGAACGAATTTGATTTTTTTTATGGTCAAGTTTTCATGAACTTTTTTTTTTTTTTCTCGTTATTAATGTTAAACTTACTTTCATGCTTAGCTTAACATTTATCACAAAGCAATGTAATTTAGTTATTGATCAATAATAGATTTTTTTCTACTGTAAAGGTTATTTATAATTTTTGAGTGGCTTTACAAATTAACAATGTCATTAGTTTCTAAAAATAAAAATTAATAAAAATCTTTCTACCTCAACATATGCTGTTTATTTACTTTATTGTAAGCAATTGTGTGACCTGATCTATGTTATTTGCTAAAAAAAAATCATAAGCGTTATTCCAGAGAAAAATAGTGTTTGCATTTATTGCATTCTTCTTTCTTTCTTTTTTTTTTCTCATTATTTTTCATGGTTGTATGGCATATATTCTGACATACAACATATAGGGACAATCAAATATAACTTAATCGCTTATTTGTGAAATTTCCAGTACAGCTGCAGATCGAGGAAGTCAGCAGGAAGCTGAGGACGGGTGATTTGGGAATTCCCGTCAACCCAGAAGAAAGGTTAATAAATAACAACCCTTTACTAACTAAAAGTCCCACAAAACAGATTATTTACAAAAAAAAAAAAAAAAAAATTGTAGGTTTTACCAGGTGTGGTGCGTAGCTCTGGCGACTCTCTGCTGGTCACTGGTATCTCATTGTACGGTATTTATAATTTAGCCCGCTTGTAAGTCTTTTTAATTTCATTTTTTCTTGTATATTTTTTATTGGTTTTGCCCAATAGAAAAATATCCTTTCCTTATTGAGGTCATGTCAGTTCTGTTTTTTTAAATTTTATGAGCTCTGTTTTTTGTTTTGTTTGTTTATTAAGACCAATTTCCTATTAAATTTTTTCAAAGATCTCTTCTGTACATTTCCGGGATATATTTAGAAGACCTTCATTTCATATTTAAAACAAAAACTCAAAATGAAATTTTGGTGCCAGGATTTGAATGTCTAAAAGAAATTGATAACTTTTATGTTAAATGATATAAATAGACTCTTACGCTACCCTGGCTTCTCAAATTACACTCTTATAATCGTTTAATCAAGAATTTTTTTCAGCACAAGTTGCGACGACCCTGCAGTTAACCATTTTTTTTTTTTTCCTTTAAACTAATTTGTTTAAATTTCATTTTAATCAGTTTTTAATAATCATTTTCAGGAGTAATCTATTTTCTTACCATTTTATCATTGTTTTAACTTAATGGTTCTAAAATTTTTCTTTCCAGCCAAATCGATAATTTAATAATAATTTCAGGTCGTCATTAATTTAGGGCTGCTTATTTTAATAATACTCTTTTTTTTAGGTTAATTGTTTTATTGTTTTAACTTGTAAAACATAATGTAATTATTGAGTTTACCTCCTTAATTATAATTTTATTAGTTTTTATGTCTTATGCTCTCACCAAGGTATATAATAAATTTTTAATGTATAATGTATCATTATTTTTAAAAAATTTTATTCTTTCATCCAAACATATCAAGAAATTGTCATCGGGTAGTAAATAGTTTGTAGTATAAATTTTAAAAAATATGGGTTGGACATAAGGAAGACATCTTCTGAGTCATTATTCATGGAATTAAAAATTAGATATTCTTTTATCCTCCTGTGTTTCATTATTAATGATTAATGAAGTGTGTTTTTTTTTTTATTTTTTTTTTTTATTGCTTCTGTTTATTGTATTTCTTCTTTTCTTTTTTTTCTTAATGGTCAGTACAGACCAGGAAACAAAATGTTGGCAAGTTGTTGATGGATATTTGTTAATTACTTCTTAGATAATAGATAATTGTATCTGGATACATTTTTTAAAAAGTATCGCCAATCCCAACTAAAATCAGAAAAAGAAGATGGTTACTGAGAAAATTTTATAGAACATACCATGACGATATGGTGTCTAAATTACTTTTGAACAATAGTAGAAATAAAATATTTTGTTTGATAGCCATTAAAATATCTAAAAAGAATACAAAATAACATGCTGCTATACTTCCATCTATATTTGTTTCCATAGTGTTTGCACCACTTGTTAACAAGTCGAAATACACTGTACACACTAAGCGATGCTTTGCATTTAAAATGGAGAACAGAGATACACTTGTCTTACCAATTTCATTAATAGCACCATCATCCAGCATGAAATTGCTCTGTATTCCACCAACTTGTTGCTATTTGATGATACGTGCTTGATAATACTAGTATCAACGCGTTATCATGATTTTGTATCCTGGTCTTTATGTGCCTTAAGAAATATAAATCATTTGACAAATTTACTTGGTATCTTTAAGGGTTTATACCTGAAAATTGTTATCCTTGATGTTTAATTCTATTGTATGATTGTAATTGATTATTAGTTATTGTTGATTGAATGTTGACCTCAATGCCTCCTATGATAATATTTTGTTGTGTTATCCTATAAGTTTTGCACTGCAGTGTTGTTAATTTAACTTGAGTTGTTAAATTACTTGGTGAGGGTATAATAATTGTTTATGGTTTATTTATTTATCTGATCTTTACAGAATATTGGCTCCTAAACTGAGTATTTAAATTGTCAAATAATTTTCCTAATGTTAATAAAGAGTTAATTATTACATTATTGTACCGTTGGAATATGTATTGTTAATGTTTTATGATTTCTTTGTTTTTAATGTAATACAGATAGAACTTTAAAAAAAGACAAAAATTAAACGTTACTATATAATTTAAAGATTTCAATTAAAAAGTTACTGGTAAATAAATTAACTAGTCAATCTTGAAGTACAGCAACTCTTAGTTTGCAAAAATTCTTCAGTTTGTTTCAAACGAAATATGACTTGAGTCCCAACAAGTTCGTTATTTGTCTCATACTTTTAAAAAATACTTTGGATTATTAAATTAATAATAATAGTAATAACATACATTATTTATTCTGAGACATGTTCCTTTAGAATAATGCATAAAGAAAAAAATGTGGGTTTTGAAGCCTCGGAGATAAATAAGAATAATTAAAAACAAACTATTAATTTTGTAAACATTACATCTATTTACAATTTCCTGGGGACTGAATGGATAGTAAGTGATTGAACAGACTGATTTATAGGTGGGGAGGGTATTGGAGCGAAGGATATGGAAGGGATGGAGTTCCATAGGGATGAGGATCGAATAATAAAAGATCTATCAAAAGCAGGGTAGACCCTTCCATATAAATTTTAAGACTGTGAACGGCTATTATAGGAATGAATAGAGGATTTGAATTGAAGGAACTCAGAGATGTATGAGGGACAGCAGGAGTAGATGACTTGGAAGAAGAAGGATCTCAGGAAATACTTACGACGGTAGGAAGGATAAAGCCACTTCAGCTATCATAAAACTGGGAAACAGTGGCATCCCTTACGATCCCAAAGATGAATCATACAAAGCAATTTATCAAAAATTTTGGTTTCATCTCAAGATCCCCGGATACAGCCCTATATACAGCTTTAGTCAAAGTGAAGAAATATTAAGGAAAAGGTAGAAAATGTAAGACGGGAGATATTGAATACATGATTTATCCTGGAAAGAGTTTGATCAAAGGTTATTCCAAGAGTTTCGAAAGTAGGATAAAATTTGATGGGATTATCATCTAGTAACAAGGGTTGGAATATAAGGATTTAGATGAGTTGACTAAGTTCATGAGGAGGGATTGTGCCACACCATTCCAAGACACATACTCTACTTTTTTTCTGTCCTGATGAGCATCAATTTGCAAAATATTGATTGGTCGGTTGTTGGTCCTGTAAATAGATGAATTTTGATAATAATAAGTTTGTTTAAATTAATTTACAATTTACATACTAATCGTTCATGTTTTGGTACATCATTTCACACTAAAGATATTTTAAAATGATAAACTTTAGTAACATTCTTTGTTATTTAACAGTAGGAAAAATTATTAAAGAACCTACACAAAAAATAAAATAAAATAAATAATAATTATGTAAATACAATTAGTATAAAAATAAAGTCAACAATAATAATAGAAGAAAAACTATATACTTATAAATAAAGAATATAGTTTATGTAATTTTGATAATGATTAGTAGTGCATAACTTTTGTCTTGAATGTTTTGGAGCCATTGTTCTTAATTGATTCAAAAAGTGTTTGCATTTTTATATTTACTTTTCAAATTTTTTATTTTATTTTTTACTTTCATACTTCTCTAAATTAAATCTTCCTCAATAGATAAATTTGCAGTTATATATATTGTTTTTTGGAATATTATTTTTTGACTCTTACCAGCAATTGCCTTATGACCATATAAACTTTGTAGTTTAGTTTTCGTTATTACAAGGGAAAAATAATATTGAGGAGAAAATTATTGAAAAACATTATTAAAACGCTGTGATGCTAATAAATGATTATTTTCAAAGAAATGCAGTTATATTTCCAATTAATTATTTAGACATTGTGTAACAAAACCTCTTTGCATTACAACTCTACCGTAGTGATTGTTGGTTAGACAGGCACAATTTTGCCCATGGGCTCGAGAGTTGGCAGGGGAGGGAAGGGAATCCTGGTATAGTTAATTTACTTAAACATGAACCTGCACACAATTAGTATATATTCTCAGTCAATTGTTAATGAACATTTTAAGACAAGATTTATGTTTTATTTTGTCTAAACACAACTGATCCACTAAAGAATATATTCATTATGTCTTATCATATAACATTTTTCACTTTTGTCCACTCCTTCCTCGCCTTTCAGGCTATTACGGGGGTTTCCTGTGCTAGGGGAGAGTCCAGAATTAAAAACCCCCTGAAACTGGGATGCAAACTCAGAATTATTTTATTATCTGAACTTTATTTATCAGGTTGCTAGGCAACTCGTGTGTTTTGCACATGCGTCAGCCAGCTCGGCCATCTTCCCCCCCCCCTCTTATCATGCAACCACCTATCAGTTCTTAATTCTTCCGAGGACCTTCAACTTCTAGTTGAAAGTACCATAGAACTAAGACTCATCTCATGTGTGTTAACCCTGTCAATTAAGTCACCACTCTCTTCAGCTCTCAGTTAGTCCTCACATCAATACGAATATGCTTTTTGTTCTGTAAACAGAAATTTAGAAATATTTCAAGCTTAAACTGAATATAGTGTAGAAATGTGGCTCTTAAGTAGAAAGACCAATCTATCACCCTTTCCCCATTGTCTTCGGCTATTTCTAGCAATTACTTTCACCAATTTTCTGGGCTCTTGTCAGTATTTAACTCCATTTGTTTATTGCAACAATTTAAATAATTTGATTTAGCTGTTTTTATTCTTGCATTTCTTAGACAGTGCAAATAATTTTATTTAGTTAGTACTTCTGCTTAACCTCTGCAATAATATCAAGGATGGTTATAATTCCAAAAGTTCATTATCCTTTCCCAATGTTCGGTTTTATTAATAAATGTTGCTAGCTTCATAAATTAATTTTTTTAGGGAGAGGAGGCGCTTAAATTCATCTACAATTTGTATTTCTTAAACTTCCTTAGAATAAATCCTAAATTAGAATAAAAAAAAAATTATATTTTTGCAATATATTTATATCATATTAAATTGTGAATAAGTTCAAATAAAAAGAATGCAAACATTTAATTATTCTTATGTTTACAATATAAATTTTATAACCTTCTTCTTTTTCTTTTTTTATAATTTGAATATAATTCCATTAATTCTGAAATAATTTAAAGTTGATTATTTTTTAAATTTTAACTCATTCCTTACAAAACATTTAACTCTATTTAATTTCTCTCATTTATTTAGGAACTATAGGTTTTTAGGCGATAATTTTATTACTAGACTTCTCAAGACTATTAGTATCTCTATATTTTTATATTGGTGAATATTTTTATTTATTTTTGTGCAGGTCTCCGTCGCCTGAGCCGATTTATAGCAGCGATGGAAAACGTCTCAACACGAGGGAGTTCAGAACGAGGAAAGCTCTCGAAGAAGAACGGCACACTCTCATACAGAAAATGCTTAAAATAAATCCTGAGTTTAAACCACCGGCTGACTACAAGTAAGTTTATAGTCAGATTAGATAGAATTATAAAATCGAATAAAAAATTTTTTGTTCGTCTGCGCCTTTTCTCTGAGTCTATTGGACCTATTGTTTTTTTCAAATTTGGAATTTGGGATCAAAATCAGAGGTCACTCGAGGATGATCCTCCTATTTCGACGTTACTATCCATCCTTTCCTTCCAAGATGGCGGCCGAAAAACCTGTGTTAGTATAGGCTGTATCGCCTAAACGAATGTACCAATTTCAACAAAACTAGGCTAAAGGCTTCTCCTCTTGATGACCTTTAAATTTATTTATATAACGTACTTCAACGAAAAGAAGCTGTAAAAAAAGTTACGATGGTTGGTAAAATTACGTTTCCGAATAACTCAAGAAGTATACAATTTTTGGTCAATGTTGTGTATGGTTATTTAATAATTTACGAATTTCACCAAAAAAAAAAAAAAAAAAAATTTGTTGAAATCCAACAATTTGGAGCAAAGATATGATGTTTTATATGTTCTACTGCAGTGCTTGTATCTTTTGTTTTTGATTTTTTGAAAGTTTTACATCAACTGTAGCAATGCTTATTTTTTAAACATATTATCAATGATATAAAGTAACGATAAAAAAATACAATTTTAAAGGCCGATGTTAAGAATTTCGTTAATGTTACATGGAAAGTAATTTTAATTTTTATGTTGAATTGTTAAGAAAGAATTTGCATATATATATATATATATATATATATATATATATATATATATATATATTTTTTATCTTTAATGAATACAAATATTTTTGAAAATTATAAGCTACTGTTTTATTCAATTTACAGGCCTCCTATCGTGAGGGTGAGCGATAAAGTTATGATACCTCAAGAAGAACATCCCGACATAAACTTTGTCGGTTTACTTATTGGACCCAGAGGAAACACTTTGAAATGTAATTATCTTAACTTTTGTTGTATTTTATCTTGTATTATTTTAATTTTATATATTGATTACATATTTTAATAAAATTTGAATTATTGATTTTGTTTAGCTATGGAACGAGAAACTGGAGCTAAGATTATTATTAGGGGCAAGGGCTCAGTGAAAGAGGGAAAAGTTGGTAGGAAAGATGGGCACCCGTTACCTGGCGAGGATGAGCCGCTGCACGCCTACGTCACAGCTAACAACCCTGAGTTTGTCAAGAAGGCTGTTGATAAGGTCAGCCACATTTTTTTAAAAAAATTTATTTAGAATACGCGATTGAAACTTCATTTTTACCTACAAATGACATTTCCAAGTGTGAAGTATAAACAAAAATTAAAATAAAAGGACTTTGTTAATGAAATAGTAAGCACCAAGAACCCTTCTTATTTAGTATTTAATACTAATAGAGATTCCAACAGAGTGCTATAGTAAATTTTGGTTTTGTCTATTTCTTTACAAAATTTTAATTTTGAAAAGAATAAAAAAACTAAAGTACATTAATCAATTGATCAATTGTGTTTTCTTTTCTAATTCTTGGCGATATATGTCTCCAGAATAATAGAAAAAGAGAAAATAATCTGCATTGTGTTGATATTCGACATTGATTTCATTTTGACCATTTTATCCTTGGCTCCCCAACTTATTTCTATTGTTTAACATGAATTTTCTAGCAATTCATAGACTGACCGGCCATTGAAAGCGCAGCTAAGCTGAGCGTCAGCTTAAGATTGAGATCACGTAGTGGAGCTCAGCTCAGTCAGCTGTAAACTCTCAGTCAATGTAGAATTTTTAAAAAAAATTATACATATATTTATATATATATTTGTTTATTTATAAAAGAGCAAAGTTGAGTTGGAGTTTAAAAGAGAAATCGAATATTTGTGTATAAAATCAAATATTTTCCCATACACATTCATTTGATTAAGAAGAATTCTTCCACATCCATTGCATATTTTACATTGAACCAAAATCAAATAATTTGAGATATTGTGCAGGGAAAACAAACGGGAAAAAAGGATTGTACTGATGAACAAAGCCTCACAGTTATGGGGGAATCTGAGTATAGCTTTAAAACCGAACCTCGGTTGAGTCAAAGCTGAGCTTAGCTGATGACCTGATCCTTGTTACTGCGCTTCGGTGGCCGGTCTGCCTTATTCTTATTTACTTTAGTGGAGGAAAAAAAAAAAGTAAGTTCGAACAAGTGCATGAAAACCCGAAATGATTCATTGAGAGGCTGATTTGAGTATAACATTTGGAGAGTATTGTTTTCTATATAATATTGAATTTCCTGAGTAATTATTTTGTTGATATGGACATGGTTGGCCGTAATTGTAATTTAAGGAATATATAATCGAGGGTTGTGCTCAACAATCTCACACTACTATGGTGTACTATTTATTTATGGCCTATGTTTCAACCGCACTGGCCAACTATTCCATACAATTTATTTTTTATTTTTTTCATTATAATAGTCAAGTATGATGAAAAAAAAAACTTTTGTTAATGCAGTAATAAAAGAAATTAGCACCAAGAAATATGTCTCTTGAATAAAAGAAGAAAAAAAAAATCGGCTTTTCTTGATATTCGACCTTGATTTCCTTGCTTGACCTTTCCATCCTTGTTTCTCCAACTGATTTCTATTATTTGTAGATTTGGGATGGCTTTAACAAAAATTCTTATTTTTATCTAGTTAAGTGAGAAATTTTATGTTGGTTCACTGCTATTCTACAAAAAAAAACAAAAGAAACAAGATCATGGCTACCCAAGTGATTCATTGAGAAACTGGTTAAATGTAAACCAGTTATTTTATTTTATTTATTTCCAAGATTTAAGTATGATATAAAAAAATAAAATAAAATGAATAATGGCCTATTTGAACGAAGCTAGAGAACTAGTAAGCACCAAGAACCCTTCTTATTTGGTATTTATGCTAATTGAGATTCCAACAGAGTGCTATAGAAAATTTTGGCTTTTTATATTTCTTTACAGAGTTTTCTTTTGTGGAGAATCAAAAAGCCGAAATACAGGAACCAACAAATCAAATGTGTTTTGTTTTCGTTTTCGGTGTATAAAAGAGCAAAAATCTGCATTGTCTTGATATTCGACCTCAATTTCATTTCTTGACCTTTCCATTGGCTTTCCAACATTTTTCTATTCTATGGAGCTTTGGGATGGATTTAATTATTTTGTTTTGTGATATTATGGAAATGATTGAGGTAGTTATAATTTAAGGAATAATTATTTAGGGTAGAGGGTAGGCGCAATCTACAATTACTCACTATATTGGAGTAATACTTTATTTATGACCTATGTTTTGACCCCACCTGTTGACTATTTCTTAAAATTTATTTTTTTCAAGGATCAAATATGAAAAAAAAAAAAACTTTTGTGAATGAAGCTGTAGAACTAGTAAGCACCAAGAACCCTTCTCATCTAGTATTACATACATACTAATAGAGATTCCAACAGTGTGCCATAGAAAATTTTGGCTTTGTCTATTTCTTTACAGATTTTTTCTTTTGTGAAGTATCAAAAAGCTGAAATACATGAATCAAAGGTATTTTGTTTTTATTTTTTCATCCTTGGTTCCCCAATTTGTTTCTATTCTTTAGAGCTTAATGTTGGATTTAATACCAATTCTTATTCTTATCTAGTTTAGAGAGAAATTTTATGTTGAATATTTTACCCTTTGGCAAAATAAAAAAAAAAAACAGGAAAGTATGAACAAATTCATGAATTGAATCAGTAAATGTTGAACTAGTAAGCACCAAGAACCCTTCTCATCTAGTATTTCATACTGATAGAGATTCCAACAGTGTGCCATAGAAAATTTTGGCTTTGTCTATCTATTTCTTTACAGATTTTTACTTTTGTGAAGAATCAAAAAGCTGAAATACATGAATCAAAGTTATTTTGTTTTTATTTTTTCATCCTTGGTTCCCCAATTTATTTCTATTCTTTAGAGCTTTTAGGTTGGCTTTAACACCAATTCTTATTCTTATCTAGTTTAATGAGAAATTTTATGTTGAATTTTTGCTCTTCGGCAAAATAAAAAAAGGCAAGTATGAACTAATTCATGAAAGAATCAGTAAATGTAGAAAGCACCAAGAACCCTTCTCATTTAGTATTACTAAACTAATTGAGATTCCAAGAGAGTGCTATAGAAAATTTTGGTTTTGTCTATTTCTTTACAGATTTTTTTTTTGTTAAGAATCAAAAAGCTAAAGTACAGGAATCAATAAATCAAATGCTTTCTTTTCTGATTCTTGGTGAGATATATCTCTAGAATAAAAGAGAAAGAAAAAGCATTCTGTATTGTCTTGATATTCGACATTGATTTCGATTTGACCATTTTATTTAAAGTAATTATTTTATTGATATGGAAATGGTTGACCGTAATTATAATTTAAGGAAGAGATAATCAAGGGATTTGGTCAACAATCACACACTATTATGATGTACTATTTATTTATTGGCCACATTTGCCAAGTATCTCATAAATAATTTTTTATCATTTTCAAGAGTCAAGTGTGATGAAAAAAAAATACTTTTGTCAATGCAGCAGTAAACATAATAGCACCAAGAACCCTTCTTATTTAGTATTAAATACTAATAGAGATTCCAACAGAGTGCTATAGAAAATTTTTGCTTTGTCTATTTCTTTACAGATTATTATTATTTTTTTTTTTTTTTTTTTTTTTTTGTGAAGAATCAAAATGCCTGAAGTACAGGAATCAATGAATCAAATACCCTCTAATTTCCCATGGAATGATTAAACTAACTGATATTAGGAAACCATTTGAATCTTGTTTATGTTTACCTTATTAAACAAAGTATAGTATTTGTTCGGATATAGGTTGATCCCCAATGTAAGTCATCCCACCCCTCTCCTTCATTTTAAAAATAATTTTCTGCAAAAAAATGTTGAGGAGGGACAAAAATTTAATAAATTTCCATATTTAATTTATATACCAGTCCGCTGTTGTTCCTCAAGGTAGTATCCTAGGTCCTATCCTCTATACAGTTTATACAGCTGACTTCCCTACCTGTCCCAACACTGTCATCACCACATATGCCGATGACACATGTATCCTATCAGTAAACAATGATCCAGCAATTGCATCCCAAATGCTTCAATCACACATCATAAATCTAGAAGAATGGTGTCAAAACTGGAGAATTAAAATAAACTCCAATAAATCCCACCAAATTACCTTTACCCTTCGTCGTAAACCAACGACTTCCTGTCCTACAGTTTCCTTTAACAATACTCCACTTATCCCTGTTGAGCAAATCCGATACCTAGGACTCCACCTGGACCAACGACTAACTTGGAATCCTCATACCCGACTGAAACGACCAGAAACCGTTCGACGTTTCCGACTACTTCAGCACTTACTAGACAAACGCTCTAAGCTTCCAATTAATTATAAAAGACTAATATACATGACTATACTAAGACCTATACGGACTTATGGGGTTCCACTAAACCATCAAATTCCTCACGCATCCAATCTTTACAATCCAAAATCCTTCGTAAAATCCTCAATGCTCCCTACTTTGTCACAAATAAAATAATCCATAAAGATCTTAATGTTCCTTATGTTTCAGATCTGGCCCAATCCAGATACCTATATTTCCATAATAAACTTCAGAATTATCCCAACCCTCTCGTTTCTAACCTTGCTTCCTCTTCAATTCCTGATAACCCTCTGAGGCGTCTGAAAAGAAGATGGCCCTGTGATCTCCTAATGTAGTCATATCATTAGAGTGCTACCATTGGGTAGTTACTCAGCAAGTGTATTCATGTCATTATATCAATTATGTCCAGATTTACTTGATGTATTTATGTAATACAGTTGTAAATGTCATAAAGAAATAAAAAAAATATATATATATATATACATATATCTGAAAGTAGTGAAATGTGCTTAAATAATGTAGCTGAATAACAGGTGAAGAGAAACAGAACTTAATGGCAATCGCATTAGGGGTAGTAGCATAGTTGAAAGTTGTGGGTTTCCACCCGTGTCAGTTGCCCTAAGAAATGGATCGATGACCCTCTGGTCAGCCCTAGGCTTCATTTAGACAGTACCATGGGTTGGCAAAAAAGATCACATGACAAGACCTATTTGCTCTAGTTTCCTCACCCCCTCCAGTAGATAAAAGGCATCATCTATTATATAATGATCAAGCTCAGGACTTAGGACGTTGCTATCTAAATTTATATTTTTTTAATTGAGTTTCTCTGCTCAGAACTTTCAAAGAATATGGCTGATTAGTATTTGAATGAAAACCATTCTTTTATCATTTTTAAGATAATGAAATAAGTTTAATTTTAAAGAAAAATAAAGCATTAATATGAAGACTGGCCTGCTTAATTTGTTTTAGTGGGTTTCAAAGTTCCAATTATTGTCGGTTAAATATTTTCAGTTTGACATACCTTTTAGGTCCTCTTCATTTCTGTTTGAACGTGTCCAATCAAATTAGTTTTCGTCCTCGTCTCCTAGTTTAAATATAGCATTTGCTTTGAACTTATGCATCGTACCTGATCTCGTTTGATATAAGAATGAGCACTAACTTTTTATTAATATTCATTCTACTAACTTTCCTATGACTAAAGTAAGAAGGAAAAAAAACTAACTATGAAATGGCTTAAAAACTCACCGAGCTTCAGTCTAAATCAAAAATTTTACTTTCACTTACCTAAATATGAAATAAATAAAAAGGGTACAGTATTCACTCTGTTGAGGGCTGCGACAAACTGAATGTAAGGCCACGACTACTAGCACAGTGGGAACTGATATTACCGTCTAATAAAACCTTTAGATATATCAATATAAATAGACGTTGTTAATTTTTTTAAATTTTAATCATATATGTTTTCAGATTAAAGAGATCATTAGGCAAGGTGTAGAAGTGCCAGAAGGGCAGAATGATCTGCGGAGAATGCAACTGAGAGAGCTCGCTCTTCTGAATGGTACCCTAAGGGAAAATGATGGCCCCCGGTGCTCCAACTGTGGTGCTGCAGATCACAAGTCTTGGCTTGTAAGTAATTATTTTTAAAATGCCCTTGATATTCTATTGATTTGAAAATTGATTAAAACTAATTTTGATGTTAAGTATTAAATTTTTCACCCTTAACGGAGTACTTGCATGTTAAGAAATTGCGTAAATTTGAGCTACAATGAAATCGAAGTGATAAAGAATACGTATAAGATTGAGATTGCTCTTTTTAAATAACAATGGATAGTATATAAATGTTTATATTTAGCTTGGGTGGTGTGGTTGGAGATTATAGCCCTGGAGCCAGGGCCTAAAAACCGACCTCATCGCAGGGGAATGTTTGATTGTAAATTACTATAGTGTATGTTATCCTGAGTAGAAAGAACCTTGTCCGCCGTTCGAGAGCAACTGCTTTCAAAATACCAATTTGAAGAATATTAGGTCAGTAATTTGAGGATTGAAATGGGCAACCCGTAGCAAAAAATGTGAGAAAAGTTTTTGATTTATTAACTTGCATATATGGGTGTAGACATGTAAAAAACAAAATTGCTAACCCCGACCACCAAGGGAAAACCTTTTACAAGCCAAAAAAGTCTGATTTTTTTTTTGTTTTTCACCTTTAAAAACCAAAACGATATATCAAAGCGAAAAATGTACTCTTTAAGAAATTAAAGAATGTTAAATTGTGCGTCGAACGAGTTCATAAACTTTATAATTTGGTTACGTGGTAAGATATAAAACGGCGGTCAACCAACCCTCATTTTTACTAAATTTGTTTTTTGGATGTAAAAAGATTTTCCTTAGTGGCCCGCGTTAGCAATTTTGTTTTTCACATCACTAAATCCATATATAAAAGTTTTAAAAAGTAAAACTTTTCTCACATTTTTTGAAATGGATTTCCCGTTTTGATGATCCTCAAATTACTTGCCTAATGTTCTTTAGAGCAGTGGCTCTGTAACGGCAGAAAAGGTTCTTTTTACTCAGAATAACATATACTTTCGTAATTCAAAAGCAAACCTTCGCCTGTGATGAGATCAATTTTTGGGCCCCGGCTCCAGGACTACTAGGGTTGTGGCCTCAGTCCATCCTAGTAGCCCATGACTTGTGCTACTGCCCAGAATGCCCAGCTCTACTTAATAAATATGATCTTATAAAAGTTACTAGAATACATTTTAAATTAAATATTTTTATTCAGAGACAACAGTGTGAGTGAGAGATAAAAAAGGAAGAAGTGTTTTTGGGTGGAAGTTTCAAATTTGGAAAACTATTCTAATTTACTATTCTAATAAGACTATTCTAATAAGATAAACTATTCTAATAAGATAATCAAGTATATGATCTAGATGTTGTCAGCCCCTGACATAGCCATGTCTTCACTCTCATTATAGCTCCGTCCCATATATATTATTGTCAAAAGAATACCAAAGATTAATATTATCATTTGCTAATTGTTTAATTTTTTTTTTCAGTGCCCTGATAAACCAAATGTTACTCATTCAATTGTCTGTTCTACTTGTGGAGGAGCTGGGCATATTGCTAAAGATTGTAGAGCAAAGCGTCTCGGTGCCCCTGCTGTTGTTAATAACAAAGAAAAAGCAAAGATTGATGAAGAAGTAAGTAAATTAAAATATATATTTAAATATATTAATTGAAGTTATCAAAAATACTAAATACAATTCCGTTTTTCTGTTATTAGTATATGTCTTTGATGGCTGAGCTCGGGGAAGGACCTCCTCCAGACAAGTCTATGTCTCAAAATAACCTTCAGAAGAAAATGACGACAGCTACGACTAGTGTGTTTGACAAATCTATGGTGCCACGAGCCTTGACGGCCCCACCTCCCACTTCCATCCCACCACCTTGGTCCAAGCCCCCAGACCCGAACGCTGCCATGCCACCTGGCACGGCGGCTCCCCCCACCCTTCCTCCTTGGCAGGTGCCTCCCCCACCATGGACGGCTATGCCACCTCCTGGTGCAGCACCACCTCCATGGACCCAGACTGCACCTCCGCCTCCTCCACCACCTCCTGTCTTCTGGGGATGGCAACCCCCAAATGTTCCTCCACCTCCTGGTGGAGGAATGCCTGGTATGCCCCCTGGTACAGGAATGCCTGGTATGCAACCAGGAGTTCCTGGGATGCAGCCTGGTATACCTGGTATGCAACCTGGTGTTCCTGGAATGCAACCAGCAATACCTGGAATGCAACCAGGTGTTCCAGGAATGCAGCCTGCAGTTCCTGGTATGCAACCTGGTGTTCCTGGAATGCAACCGGCAATCCCTGGTATGCAACCAGCTCCTCCTGGTATGCAGTCTACGCAGCAGCAGCAACACCCTGGTCCCCCAGGAATGCAGCCTGTATCGGTAGCCAACATGCAGCCTACTACTTCTAATATTCAGACGACTATGACTGGGATGATGCAGCAGCCATCAGTACCTGGATTACAGACTACTGCTCCTAGTGCGATGCAACCCCCTATGCCTTCAGGAATGCAGTCTCCCCAAAATATGCAAAATCCTCCTGCGCCAGGAGTTGCCCCTCCTCCGACCATCCCCCCTCCTGGGATGATGCCTCCATCAGTTACAAGCGTGCCACCTCCACCACCAGACATGTCTTCTTTACTGACTCCACCTCCACCACCACCCCCTGCGCTTGATGTTGATTTGATTTGTTAAAGATTAGAATTACGTGTATTCGTAATTTAGGAGGGATAAATTTATATATTTTGTGTTGACGGTACAGACTTTGAGGCTGGTATTTATTTTTGGATATCAGCTGGGAGGGATACAAAGAACATTTTTTAGGTTTATTTTGTTAATTATTTGGAAATGAATTATATATGATGCACAATATACCTAGAGGTCTATTTTATGTCAAACCATTTTAATCCCTTCCTTCTTCAACTCTCCTGATGTTGATGTATTATTTTTTTTCTCTTTGTATCTCTTTTATGTATTGATTACATTTTATTCACCGATCTAATGTATTTTTATTTTAATGTTAATGCCATGTTATGGTATTTGATTGATAATTTTCATTGAGACCATCATGAACTTTTTTTTTTATTATCTGTATCAATTGTCTGTCATTACTTTTTTTTAAAAATATATTATTCTATTATGAAATTTGTAAGTTTTTTTCTATTAGGGGTGTATAACACCCTATTGATATTTGTAAAGTTGAATCCAACATAAACAGGGATTTTCGTTGCTAAGCATCTACAGCTGATAGGACCAGACCCATGCTTCTAATATGCTCGAGTGGCGAGAGCCGGCCGTTTCACAATTCTTAACTACTTTATCAGTAACGCTCACTATGTCGAAGCAACAGGTGTATTTCCCACTGCGTTGCATTATTATAACATCTTCCTCTCAGGAATGAGTTCAAGCATCAGAAATTTTCCAGTTATTGAATACCCAGTTTGGTGATCAAACATTCTCCTGGATGGGTATGTATGCCTGGCAAAAAAAGTTCAAGGGAAAGAACATGTGGAAAATCAGCAATACGATCACAAAAACATTCATGCTAAGATGATCAAACAACTGAAAGTATCAGACATTGCAGTACAGATTGAAATAAGTTAAGCGAGCTAAGAAGTGATTATCACAACCTAGAGGTTAGTAAAGTATGTGCCAGTTGGGTCCCTACCTCTGCACTCTACTTCACTGAACTCAACGTGATCATCCTACTATTAGCCCGGACCTGTCATCTTCCTATTTCTATTTGTTTAAGACAGCTTACTAGAAGATGAGGGCATGGATGGATTTCTTCCTGGCAAAACCAGTTTCATTCCGCTATATAAAACCCTTCTCCCTAGAAAAAATATGTTTCTAAAGTGAGAAACTACGTTCAAAAGTGAGTTATAATTGACTTTCGCCCTTTTTATATTTGACTCGCCCTCGTAGTTGTAGCATCCATTTCTGTTAAGAACTTAAAACATGTCATAATTTTTATTTCAATATTATTGTCCAAGATTAATTTATCAGAGTTCCTTGTTTTGGGCTTTTAAGTCTAGATGTGGCAGGTATTTATTTATTCTATAACATCTACCTGGAAATCCACTCAATTTTTACCATTTTTAAATAGGTACTTTAACCCTGTAGTTGAGCGGAGCCTAAATCAACCTCAGGTCCCGTGTGCACGGGATTTATTTACTGCATTGCTCCTGTCGTTTTAAACTTTTCACATTAAAATATGTTTTTTTTTTTTTAATAACTGACATATACATTTTTATTTAATAACTGACATATACATTTTTATTTAATATGATGTTAGCTCATATTTCAGTAAACAGTTAAATTTTTATAATTTATTAATTGACTTAGGTTACCTTTTACATTATTTTCTGATATTGATGTAGAGATGGTTGACCGTTGATATAATATGAGGAGTTGATCAGGGGGGGGGGAGGGGTCAAATTAATACTAAATTAAATAAATAGAATTATTTAATTTAGTATTAATTTGACTGCACCCTCCCCCCCGAACAACTCTTCATATATTTTGATATGTTCTAGTATATTTTTTTTATTCTTCATTTGAAATTTTTTATTAATAAATTTCTGATAATGTTTGATATGAGAAATTTAAGAAACTTTTCATTTTTAACTTATGCACTTCAAAATACTACCAACTGCTGTTAGTTTTAGATCTAAACTGTTCAAAAGAGTAAAAAAAGTGATGGAAACAGGTATACAAAGGGTTGAGGTCAGACACTTCACTCTAAAGGATATCCGCGACTAAATAATACATCTCGCTATCTAGTGGTTCCAGCAATAACCATACTCATTGAGTACAGTGGCTTAATAATATTATTAAGCTCTGTAATGAGCCAGAGTATTGGTTTTGTGCAACTGAACAATAAAAAGCTGAAGCCAATATATTGGCTTTGCGTATCTAAAGGGTTAAATACTTTGTAAACATTCTGAATAAAGTAACTGTTTTTTATAGAATTTGATCATAAAATGTCTTTTATATACTCTATCAATGAAAATTATAACAAAATTTTATTGCTTAAAGCCTTTATTTTGGAATCGTTCAAAAAAAGTTTTCCTAGTCCTATTACTATAAACTACTGTGACAAGTTCTTAATGATTTACTAATTTTATTTGTGTTTAAACGAAGAAAACCACCTGATCAATTTTTAATCGCATATTAATTTATGTACTAAAAGCCAGCAAATTATAATATTAAATTTTAAACCAGGTATGAGATGACATTAGTAAAGCCTTGGACTGGATGATGTTTGTGTCTCTACTAGGTTATGAAGTTTCATCTGCCTTTTCCAGGAGCACTTTCTATTATCCAAAAGTAAGACTTTTTTCAACAGTTTCTCTTCTTCGTATAGCCTACTCAGCTGGACACCAGTGAACGCAGACGTCTGCTCTTGCTGTAGTATTTTTAATTCTTCTTTGAACAGTTTTTTTGTATCTTGGCTCTTCTTCAAAGCACGTTCTCGGCATTTCTCTTGGCTGAAACACCGGCAACTATTACTATTTTACGAAAATAATTTAATATTATACTATTGATTTTCTCAATTAATTAATGAATATGGACAATTTTTTTTAGTTACAAAATAAAAATGAGAGGAATAAAATTAAAGTCTTATAAAACGTTAATAACATATTCTAAAAAGATAAAAATTGATATTGGATATTGAATCAATATTGCTGTATATGTTTTTATAAAATGATTCAGTTCTTTTTCGGTTTGTGCTATAACATCATGAAGATCTTTGGTAAGAAGATATGGTCTTACTGGTATATATACTTGTTGGAGCAGAAGTAGCTATAAGAGAGTCACTCGACCTCATGCTGCTACAAACCATGGTCTCCATGGTTGGGGCCAATCTGGCAGTGTCCTGCCCATCAACTCACTAGGGTTCAAGGACAGTGACAAATCAGTATAGATCCATGGGTTATGGCTGCCTCTGAGTCAGATTTCTATTTATTTCCCAGAAACAGACTGTCCATGGACCAAACCTCGGGAGGTGGAGCTATCAACATCCTGATTTAAGCACACGGGATTGGGTCATCAGTCCTATGCCCTGTCAATGTGAGTTGCTTCCAGGAGGCTGACGGGTCTTACTACCCAGATTGGAGGCATCGTGGCTTCACCTGATGGACGGTCACCCATCCAAGTACTAAACATGCTCAATGTTACTTAACTTTGATTACCTATTGCTAGCATCTTAGCCTGCCTGGCTCTCTGGATTCAGATTAATAAGAAGGTATAATAATGAAAACACATTAGATCTAAAGTTCAACTTTATTTTGGCTTTATTCTCAACCTTTCAGCCCTTAAGCCATTTTGAAGTGGAAAAACGTTCTATCAAACATTGTGATGAAACAGCCTTACTGTATTTTCTTATTCATTATTTTTAAAATCATTTATATTTACATACCTTACTTTAATATAAAAATAAAATCATCTGGTCTAATTTATCTTTGTCACATACTTATTGTCTATTGGTGAAATGTCCACTCAAAAAGTTATGTTTAACTAAACATGTATTGTTAAACTATTTAAAACTTTTATTTTTATTCTTAAAAATTTTTATTTTTATATCCTAATTGTAGTTGTAAAATTTATATATTTACAATTTAGCATTTTTATAAACAATGAATAAGAAAAGGGCTGAAATGTTGAGTATAAAGCCAAAAAAATAGTTGGATAGTGGATGTAATGTGTGTTTTTTATATTACAGATAAAGTTGAAGTCTTAATCAATGATATTAAAAAATGTAGATCAACATATTGCTACTTGCTTATATTAGTTTACGACATTAAATATTGTGTATTAACAACTGAACGTTCCTAGTCTACAAAATGTTTTCATTTAATGCTACAATTGTCGCTCATAAATATTAAATTATATTATATTATTCGGATAGCATGGAATCTTTAAGGACTTTAAAGTTACTATACAATAATATCATGGCTAGTCTGAAATTATATTGTCTCAATATTCTGAAGCAATTAGCTGGGGACAACGAACACCCACATGTGGATTCCATGAAATGAAGAAATAAAAGTAAATGAAATAGCTGATAAGCTAGCAAGGAAAAATTAATTGAAACGTGGTATGCACTGATCCAAACTTTTTCTAATCTGTCAAAGGAAAGGTTAAACTTTACTTCAACTTGACTAGGAATGAGGACATCGACGTCTCTATTAATGGACCACGGCAGTTGATCAGTGGAAGATTCTAACTGCCGGCTGTCTAGAGAAAGATGAAAATGTTGAATATATACTGCGTGAATGGAGATTTCATGCCTTCAACATACCAAAGTATCCAAAATGGGCAATAATTAACCCTGAATAAATCGCCAGATCAAATTATAGGAAATTGATATGCTTTGTAAGAACCATTATGTTCTCTTGTGAGCTCTAAGTAAACAGAGAATATCTCACAAAAGATCCAATTGAGTCGCAGTGAGGAAGACCCACCCCTCAAAAATAATAACCAAATAGCAAATATTAAAATATGTATATATTGAGCGGAAAGGGGAGGAGGGGAAAGGAAAGAACTGGAAGAGATAGAGAACATAAGGGGCCAAAATGAAATCAGGAAATTCTACTACTAGAGCCTGAGAACTTTCAAACCCCGGACCAGTGCTTGCAAGGACACAGAGGGGAACTTAGTCACTGATAAGAACAAAATAATGGAGCAATGGAAATGCTATTTTCAAAGGCTCTTAAATGACAATATCCCCTGCTGTAGAGTGGAAAGGCAGGAATTACCGGTTGGCGATCTGGAGCCTCCTGACATGGAAGATGTGGAAGACGCCATAGGATTACTGAAAAACAATAAAGCCCCTGGGACGGATGGGATACCCTCGGAACTGTTTAAATATGGAGGGGCAGAACTTGCAAGATTTATGAATAATGTTATAATGGAAATATGGGTGGAAGAAGTATTACCAGATGATTGGTACAAGACAATCATCTGCCCGATCCATAAGAAAGGTGATATCTTAGACTGTCACAACTATCTTGGAATATCTCTGGTATCGTGTGCGTATAAAATTCATTCAAGAATCCTCTTTCAGAAGCTACTTCCGTTTGCTGAGAGAGAAATAGGAATATATCAGGCTGGATTCATGCGAGGAAGATCTACTGTCGACCAGATATTCGCTATTAGAACAATCCTAGAAAGGGCAAGAGAGTATAATGTATGCACGCACTACCTCTTCGTAGACTTTGAGAGAGCTTATGATAGCATCCTAAGAAATGAGCTCTACCACGATATGTTGGGCCTGGGTGTCCCACCTAAACTTGTGCGACTGATACAAGTGACAATGAAGGAGGTACAATGCACAGTCAGAATCCAAGGAGATATGTCGGACTATTTTGAAATGCAGAAGGGACTGCATCAAGGAGATTGCTTGGCTTGTCTTCTATTTAACATTGCCCTCGAATGTGTCATTAGAAGATCCCAAATTCAGATTGGTGGAACGGTCTTCAATCATTCAGTGCAATTACTAGGGTTTGCCGATGACATTGCATTGGTTGGAAGACCAGGGCGGCTATACAAGATGCTTTCTTAGCGCTACAAGGAGCAGCAGCGAGAATTGGCTTAAAGGTCAATGAGATGAAAACAAAGTTTATGCGGACCGACCCAAAGGGTGGAGGCCACAGAGAAGCAAATGTAGAAATCGGAGGGATGACATTTGAGGATGTCTCGGAATTTATATACCTTGGCTCGCAAGTTAATGTAAATAACGACATGAACCCTGAAATACAGAGGCGCATCATGGCCGCAAATAGAGCTTATTTTGGTCTCCAGGGACATCTCAAAAGTAGAGTGATCTCTCGTAAATCCAAGCTGCTCTTGTACAAAACCCTGATCAGACCAGTACTAACATATGGGTCAGAGTGCTGGACAATGGCAAGAGCCCAAGAAACAGCTCTTCTTCGGTTTGAACGTTGTGTGCTAAGAAGAATATTCAGCCCAATAATAAATATTAATCAGAAGTGACGAATGCGATCCAACTGATGCAGCTATATAAAATGAAAATTGACAGGTTGAGATGGGCAGAACACATTATCCGTATGTCTGAACAACATGTGCTAACGAAGTTGATGGATGAGCGGACCTTCGCCACAAGGCGGGTAGGCAGACCGAGACTCAGATGGGCTGATGGAGTGAAAGCCGACGCCCGAAGTATCCTTGGTGTCCACAACTGGAAGGCAGCGGCATTACTTGGAGAGGACTGGCGGTTGAAATTGCGGGTGGCCTTGACTCTTTAAGAGTTGTAGAGCCATTCATGATGATGATGATATATTGAGCCCTTAGCTAAAAAATTTTGGATTACCCGATCATACAGAAAATAGGAGACTATGATAAGACTAAAAACTTACTCCCTCAAACATAACACATATCTAGACAGAACATGAATTTCATAAAAAAATATAGCTTATTTTTTAGTATAGTATTATAAAAATTGTTTGTTTTAATTAAAATTGTTTTATCATTATATATTCTTTCTAAGAGGTGTTTTTTTGTTGCTATGCCACATCTTCGTCAATTCTTTATCAAACCCAATAATTGACCCCTCATTTTGAAGATCTTCAGGTGGGAAAAATAGTCACATCCCCCTGAAATTTGAGGAAAAAAGTTATGAAGAAAAGGAAACTTTATTTGCTATAACTAAAAAAGTATTTATTTTTTTCTTGATTATACCCATGATTGTTTGAAATATTACTAAATTCCTTACAAAACAAAAAAAAATTCATCGTATTCAGACCATTATTAGCTGTGATACAGTATATATTATACTGTAACTCTTAAACATGAAAAAACATATAATGGATAACATGAAGGAAGTGTTTACAATCAATCACCCCAAAAAATAGGAAATGATTCCTTCTTCTTGTGATACGTTGAATTATTTATTTATTATTTTATAATTTGTTCACTGACCAATATTCTCATATTATGTAACTGAATAAATGAATATTTTTAACTGTGTCAAGGAGGGGTTTATTATTTATTTGCTGTTTAAAATTTTTACTTAACATCAGTTGTGAAAATATATATATATACTACACCAATAAACTTTATTTCTGTTATCATATTTATTTACTCATGTTTGTTAAGTGATTTTATTATTCTTAAGTCAATTTTTATTACTATTCTTATCTTAAAACTAAAAAGTTTTCTTATGCAAAATATTTTAGTTAAGAAAAATCATATTGTTTTAATATTCCTTTATGAATGATATTCCATTAAAACACCCAACACTTGGTTTACTAAAACATTTTGTTATTTATCATAATTTTGGAAAATAATAATTTTAATCTTGTAGTTAAAGCTCCTTTTTGGTAATACATTGATATTACAATATGCTTATTTTTATATCTAAATTACATAATAAATATATTTTTAAGATGTGTATATTATCTTACTAAGCGAGAGCAGCAGCATCAGGTACTCCTCTTTTCTTCTTCGCTTTAGCTTCTTTTCGTTTGACAATCAACTGCAACTTTGAGATGATTGCTATATTCATTTCGAGTTAATAGTAAATTACTGGCTCTACTTGAAGTGGCTTATTATGTATCCTATGGCAACCAGTAAACTAGTATCTCAATCAATAAATCAGGTGTACAAGGTGTCCGACTCTGATATGATTATTATTAGATGAAAAAAAGCTAATGTTAGATACTTATGGTGGTGACTTTTTCGAAATGTCTTGATACTAAAATATTGATCACTATCATAAAATTGAAACCATTATTCCTCATTAATGTTTATAATGTAATGTATCTTTTCAGTTGCTAATTAAAAAAAAAAACATATGTATACCAATATTGTTTTTATTTTCAATCCTTTACTGGATTTTGACAACGTTTCGACTCATTGAGCCATTTTCAAGTCTGAAAAGAAATTTTCGCAGTACTATTATTTAAGAAAATTTTGCCTTGATTTTCATTTACAATAATTTTGTAATTACAATTCTAATTTATTTATTATTATTTTTTATATGTATAATGTTTTTAAAATTATAGCTAATAAGTAGTAAAGACGCAATCATTTTTAAGAGTTATATATATATTTTTTTAACTTATTTATTGAAAAATATTACAATCTGTCTCAAGGACATATATAATAGTGTTCAGAGATCACATTCACACTCTAAGTACAATAAATTATACAGAAAAATAATATATTGTAACATCCCTCTTATATTTTAAAATAATAATAATAATAAATCCTCAGAAGATCAATTTATATCCTTAGGATACTTCCAAAAGAAATAAGAGGTTGTTAAATAAAAAACAAAATTATCAGAGTATTAATATATTTATTTATCTCAGGTGTGGGTTTCTGACAATCAGATCAACTCAGACAAAATATTATTTACACTATTTATAATAAAATTAAACACTGATTTTAAAATAAAGTCAAATCTGGATTGGCAAGTTAACCTTTTTTCTATAGATACTATTTCTTCCTTTGTTGCCCTAAATTCATTTGTCTTCAAATGCTTTCTAATGTTCTGCCAAACACAACTTTCAAGATGGTAATACTATTACTGGGTTTTACCCACTGGAGCCAGGATCACTTCTCCCATCCTCTCTTCACTCCAGCCGAAAACCAACTCCTCGCCAAAACAAAAACCTTTGTCCCTCTCCTCTTTGGGATTTTCCTTCTTGGGAAACTACAGAGCAGCCATTTTCTTTTCTCTGCACTAGTAGAACTAGATTAGCTTGCCTTTTAATTGTTAAACATTAATTTATTAAACCCTTTTTACTCACTTCCAATAAAGGTGTACATTACAATATATACAATAAATAAGAATAAAATAACCTAAAAATAAATAGATAAAAAGCATAATAATCTAATAAGAGTTATATTAGTGCCGACGTTTCAACCCCAAGCATATGGATCATCATGAGGGCTGGAAATTGTTTAGTACAATCAGAGATATGATTTGCTAGTCAATATAAACATAAAACAGTTTGAGTTTATGTAATGACTGCCGCCTCTTAATATTTCATTGCTTGGGTTCATGACAAAATAAATTTCAATCCACCTTGGCCAGATTCGAACTGGTTCCTCTACCCAGGCCCTAGTAGGTTGGGTCAGGCAAACCCCCTATGTTAGCATCCTGTCCCTCTGATGGATGCTGAAAGCCAAATATTCTTCACCAAGAGGTGAACAAATGCAATGTTTTGAAAATAAAAATAAAACACTTGTAATAGTTTTATGTCTTTATATAAATATGTAAATAGATTTAAATATATATATATATATATATATATCTATGTTTATCCTTTTAAGTATATTTGCATGAGATTTGTCATTGATGCCCCGAGATACTCCCATGTCTCACCACTACATTGAGTTAAAGTGGGCTCCAATACCATATATACCAATACCTCCATTCGAAGAAAATATTTCCTAAGTACGTTTCTCTATCATATTATCAACAATCATCATCCTTCTTACGCCTACAACCTTCTCCAATTCAAGTCCTCAGTCCACTCCCTTTCCATGAGATCTCGACCTTCCGACCTTTACATTCCTTCTCACAGATCTGCCTCATTCCAAAACTCCTTTATTGCTCTCTCTGTTAATTTTTGGAATTCCCTTCCTATCAAAATTCGCCATTCTTTATCCCTATCTACATTCAAAACCCTCCTATTCCAATTCTTGTCCCAAAAACAGTCAGATACCCACTAACCTTTTATGTAAAATTACATATTATTCATAATAATGTATTTACATATAGCCCATCACTTAAATACTTATTATCAGATTTCGACTTTCTTTCTTTTCAACAGAAACACAGAGTTTACTGCTAAGAAGAATGTAATGTATTTTTTATATTTTTTAAAAGTATATATTTATATTTTACCATTGTACATAATTTTAATGTGTCTTGGCAAGGTTTCAAGAGTTTTGTATATTGATTTTTTTTTTTATTTTGTATATAGTATGTATAACTAATATTTTCTTTACTTATTTATCTTTATCTTTACTTTTTATGTTTGTTTTTATTTGGCCAGATATAACATTTTAGTTTTGTACTTTTTTGTTATTCTAAAGGGACTTCGTCCCAGAATAAAATTATTTTCTATTATATTCTATATATTTTCAAGTTAATTTTTTTTTAATTAATAAAACCTATACACAACATCCTCATTGCACCAGAGAAAGTATTCTTTATTTTAAAGAAATTATTCTTTTATGTATTATTTCCATTCAAATGATCAATTTATTTTTAGTAAAATAATTTTTCATAAAATGTTTAGGTTTGGCATTTTTCACAAATAAACCCTCTCCTATTCAACAGTCTCTCTTTGGCTTACAAAGAAAAACTCACTCTCTTATTTTGAGATATCAGTAATTTTAAATTTATTTAACAAAGCCAAAATGTTTTTGGCATACAAACATTATAAAATGATAAATCACCTTTATTGGCACAGAAATAGTTTCTTAATAAATAATTTTAAGGAAATAATTAGAAAAAAATAAATCTATGAGCAGCCAGTGATATAAGTTTGCCAGGTAATAAGTATAATAGTGAATATAATTATTATCAAAACAATAATAATCCTGAATCTAACAGAATTAGCACTTGCATCCTATAGCTTTTACAATTCCTTATCTTTGAGTGTTTCTTTTTTTTTTTCCATAAAATTCATTGATTATTTCAAGTTCCAAAAATTTTCCAGATCAAGTAAACTACTTACCTTACGAAATGAATGAAGGTAGTCTTCCTAACTGAAGTGTGGTAGTAAGCTTGTAGTTGGTCAAAAAATAATACAATTCAGAATGCTTAAAGAATCCTTCATGTGTGAGAATAAACTTTATTGCTAATATAGGTTTTTATCAGGGTTTGAAATCGATAATTTTTTTTTTTTTTTTGTTGGCTTTAAGCACGGCGACCCCTTTGGGTCCATTGTGCGCCAATATTCGCTAGGTCGTCTTATTCAAAACGTTAGTCCTGTCGCTTCCGCGTATCTCAGTAGGCTGGTTGGGTTAACCGACTCAAATCTACTGGGGAGATCCATCTGTTCCTCCCCAAATAACGCCAGTCTCAGCCTAAAAAATCGATAATTAAAAATAACAATCAAATCTGACCAACATTTTTCAAAATCATTTCTCTGTTTTTTGGCAATGATAACTTCCAAATATACAATTCATTAATTTATTGAATTTACATGTTAACGTTTCGTGAAATTTACTCCCATCTTCAGAACTTACAATCCCATATTTTCTTATCGATTCATGGCTAAAGTCTGATGTGCTCCTTTGTAAAGTTTTAAATTTATGTTATAGATAAATTAAAGTTATAATATCTACAGCATTAACATTTCTATAGACCAATAATTCGGTGCCTGCCTATGGAATTGTAAGTTCTGAAGATGGGAGTAAATTTCCTGAAACGTTAACATGTAAATTCAACAAATAAATCAATTCTTGTATATTTGGAAGTTATCATTGCCAAAAACAAGAGAATATCATACAGCTTCCCAGAAGAAAAAAAATCATTTGATGATTTGTAGTTTTTATCATAAATTATAAAAATCATATTCTGATCATTATTTTTAAACAAAATTATTACAATTAACAATAATAATAATTCTTTTTTAAATCAGAAATAATTTTTTTTTTGTAATTTCTATGATACATTTTGAGTCAGGAGTAGTAGATAGAGAATATTGTTAACTATTAGCAACTTTATTTCCAAAATTTATTAGATATTTTGGCTTGCAAAAAATGTATACATATATATATTGCAGGTAACACATGCACAATTAAAGGGATTTGAGAAATATAATATTAACATTTTATTTTATTTGTGTGTAAAAGATAATTTTTATTTTCTGATCAATTTTTTTTATTATCATAGTTTAATCATTGTTATTTATGTAAAACCGTATCACTCGATGAGTGATCATTATCATCATCATTATGTTTTTATTGTGATAGCAGTGAGAGGAGAGGAAGTGGGAGAACCCTGTTAGACTTAATGAAGAGATAAATAATTGCCTATAAAAAGGAAAATGTCATCACTTACCTTTGCTGTTGTTGATATCCTAACCAACTTGTTTTTCATATTGCTACATTTACTTATAGTATCAATACATCTTTATTCTCTTAATTTATTTATATAACTTAGTATTTAATTTTTTTTTTTTTTGTGTCTCATTATAATTCTACGTTTATTTTATTCTCTCTGAACATATTATAACATCAACTTATAGTATCAACTACATCCCATTTATTTTATTTTACTACTTACTCTTCCGATTGATTTATATAACTAAATATTCCATTTTATTTCTTTATTTCATTTAGTTGTAACCTTTATTTTATCATTGATTCCTTTATCTCTTTGTTATTGTAACTTTATAGCTTTTTAAGTTGATATCACTTCTTTTTTTTTTATTCATTGATATTTACAATTGTATTATAAAAAAATACAACTGGTAAATGTGCACACAGTAATAATACAATCATATGAAAACGCTTGTTGAGAAACTACTCATTGGTAGCACTCTATATCACTTATTTTCCATTCGTTGTTTAACTATTTATATATACTAGTTATTCTTTCTCGCTATTTACATACTTTAATCTAATTTATCGAATATTTTCATGTAGATTTTGCATATTTAATAGTTGACCGTTGCATTATAAAGGAAGAAGATGGTCCGGGGTTGCGGTCATAAATAGGCTAAATAGTGGTAAAACTATTTTATTGAAAGCCGACGTTTTCATTTTCATGTAGTATTATTATATATCTATTAGATGACATAATATTCACTTTGTCTTAGATAAGTATAGTAGCACTACTACCTCCACTCCTATTAATAACTGGTTTAGTGATAACTCATTTTTCATATAATCTATAACCTTTAATTTTTTATAAGTTTTCTTGTCTACCTCCGCTCCGATTAATAACTGCTTCAGTGATAACATATTTTAAAATGCCTATCATTGTTGTTTCTATTATGCTCTTGAGATCAATGTGTTTTACAACTTCCTACTAAGTTTTTCTAAGATTAAGTTGAACATTTATCTTATCTTTATAGTTAAATAAAGATTTCAGAATTTTCCTGAGATATTTCCATTACAAGTACCGATCCCCTGTCCATTACTAGAACAATTGAATTTTGGAGTGTACATCACTGTGCAAAAAGTTCTTTTTTTTAATGGAGATTATACCTGCAAACTGATTTTTTTTTTCAATTTCAAAGTATTAAATAGAAAAATGAGACCGTAGAGGTTCTCCAATATCCAACGGAGAAGTTCATAACTATAATAATTACGGCAGCATAAGCCGAAAAATTCCTTAGCTAGTCCATCACTGGCGCTTACCCTAATACATGCAATAAAAATTTAAAAGAAAATCTACTTCTTAAAATAAGCAGTTTTTAACATTTTTAGTTTGTGTCACGTGGCTATCAATTTGTTTTAATATCCTTGTAGATAATAGAATAATAATTGATGTTTTTTTTTTTCTGCTGAATATGATGTTACTTGGTGAATAAATTATTATTATTCACCAGAACCTCAAGGTGGTAGAATTGACTCATAAAATATCAATATATGTAATAGTTATAGGAAGGGGTTGTAAAATATAATACAAAAGTTGTCCAAATCATCTTTATTTAATTCATAAGTAGAGTGTGATCTACTAGTGACAGCTTGTATCAGAGTAATGGATATTTTTCATTTATTTACACACACTCTCTTTCTCGTTAACATTCATGTAACAGCATAGATATCAAATCACTTCTTTTTAAATTCTAGTATTTAACTTATGTTTTATTTGTAAATATATTATATATTAAAAATTTTTCATTTTGCATACAAAATAAATGGCCACATCATTAGGTTACATAATGAATAAAATATTTATAATAAATTATTTATTTTTATTTTCACAGCAGATATATCTAAATGAAAGGAAATGACGAACACTTCATTGATATATATAATATATAATATATAAACAATAAAAACAATTGAATAAAATAATCCACAAAATGTGGTTACTCGTAATATTTTTTACAATGCATGTTTCTTTGTAAATAAAAAAAAAAAAAAAAAAATCAAGTACGTAAAACAATTGATTCAAGTTCTAATTTTTTTTTTTAATTTGTTCAATATTTTTATTCAAGAAATATATATATATGAATATTTATATATATGTCGATGTTAACTGCCTGGTGTTGTAACAAACATGAAATGAAACAATCAACTGTTTTAACATATTCTTTATTATCTTATCTATATTTTAAGGCTAATATGCATTTGTAATAAAGTTAGAACTATACACATGGTTCAGGTTCAGCAAAGTGTAACATTTTAGACTCTTTTCATTGTCAAAACATTATACAGTCTATAAAAATATATTTGATTTACAATATTGACTCAACATCTCTAACAAAATATTTTATCAAAAAAAAAATTTAATAAATTCAGGAACAATTTTAAATTACAGGAAGCAAATAATTAATTAAAGAAAATTTGGAAACCAACACTTATACAGCCATGTCATTTAATTCAAAAAAATAAATAACCCAATTGCAGAGATAATAAGAATATGACGTACTCATGTACAGTAAATTAGAAAATGGCATATATTGGCAAAATATATAATATATATTCCATTTCATATAATCTTTTATTGTAAAAATATATTTATTAATTAAAAACCATTAGGCCAAATAAACTGCCATTTTAAAATTTATTTCCGGGCCCATTATAGAAATATTTCGATACCCTGATATAAACTTAACACCTATTATGTAGCAACATAGTTTATTTTTCATTTTTTTAAAATCTTTCGCTAAAGTCTTAAAAAAATTACTCTCTATCACATAAATTTTAATATATTGTTATCTTTTCATTATGTAATTATAAATATTGACATCAATTTTTTAAACACTCAATTGAAATATACAGTCTTATGGTATTTAATAGCGAGATCTCAAATAGAAAGTTCCATTTCTGAATAGCATTAATAGTTCACTTATAAACTATAGACTTTATCCCACCACCGAAACAAAGTATATTTAAAGGGGGGAGGACTCGATAAAGAATCGGACAGAAGGGTCACGGTAACAGGTTTTGGCACAATAATTAACACTTAATTTTATGACTTGCATTTGACAAAATTATCTCTGCAATAGGAAATATGCAAGTACCAAAATTTGCCATCACTTCCTTTTTTCGTTATTGTACTAAATAATGGGTAGCTGATGGTAGAAATTTAAATTAAAAAAAAAAAAAGTACACATAGCTTTGTATAAAACAATAAAGTTAAGGTACATAATAAACAATACAATGTTTCTTTCACAATATGGGAAATATACAAACAATGTTTAATGAGGCACTAATACGAACCATTAGTTAAGAGATAAGTTAAAATATCTATAGAAGCTGTAAATAAAGAAATAACAAATAATAAAAATATTCAAATATAAATATACAATAAAATACTCTCCAATAAGTTCTTTACTAAGCTGATATTAGCAAAATTATCTTAACAATAAGATGAGTATTCGCTATATTACTAAATATCTTATTTTACAGCTTCTACAGAAAACAAATTATAATCAAATTATAATGAAAGCATTCATCTTTATATTAAAAGTGCCCTCGATATCAATTGTTTTAATTAACGTAGTAATTACACTATAAATAGATTTACAAATAATTAAGAATTACAGTAATAAACAATCAATATGATTGAGAAATTAATTATCAAAGAATTGCATAATTAGCACTCCTCCTGTTGGATCCATCCTCGCATCGGGTATAAAATCCACTTCAAAATATGAAACACTTTTTTTTTTTAAAAGATTAAAAGACATTAGTGTTTAGTGTTACTTCACTCTACACATGAAAATGTTTATAATATATGTTCAAAATATTGAAACCATTCATTTTTTTTAATAAACATCGAATAACTCTATAATAGAGAAATATATATATATTATCTAAAATGAATGTGTTTTGATAACATTCAACTATTGGTTTACATTTGTTTTAAAAATGTCTTCATAAAATCCTACTCTGTTACTTTTTAAATTCTATGAATCGTTAGATAATAATTCACTTTTTAAAAAAAGTATGCTAATATTTTTCTATTCCTCTACTTGTATATTATTTACTTTGAAAGAGGATAGAGAGGTCCTGAATTGAGACTAGTGTAGGCAGAAGTAAAAAGTGTTAGGAGAGGCTAATTTCGCTCACAGTGTGAGCATTCTGAGATCAAGTTTATTCACAACTCCCGACCACCAGAATAAACCTGTCCAACAAACACCTTCCCCTTGTTCAACCATACATTTGATAACAGAAATGTAAACCAATATTTGTCAAAAAAAGCCCCCTAACACAGGGTTTAAATTTATTTTTCTTCTTATTCTTTTTTTTTTTTTTTTAATTTTATAAAAACTTTTTCTAATTTTTTTTCATCCTTCTAGTCGCATATTCTCTTACTAATTTTTTTAATAAACAGTTTTTACTATTTTTTTGTATTTTTTTTTAAGAAGTTCTTTTTTTTTCAAGCAAGACATGGTCGTCAACAATTGAATAATGATACAATCTTGGAAACATTTAGTTACTTTTTTAATTATTTTTTTTTAAGTTTTTCTTTATCTTATAAAACAGCTTCATCGCTTCTTCATTTTCGTATTTCATTTTATTGCTCTTAAAGTAGTGTGGAATGATGATATACTTAAAGAGAAATATCCTCAAAGAATGTGTTAGGGTGATGGAGTGGGGTTGTGAGCACAGCCTGTCTGGGATTGAAGTGCGCCTGAAGACTAGGAAGTGCAGGTCATGTAGGATGTGCAGGTACACGGCGCTGCTGATATAAATGGCGCATAATAGTATCCACCAGCATAGATGATAGTAGGAGGATGCTGCGAGAGATAGCGCGACTGTTCGGTGCAGAGAACCGTACAAGCCAACTCGTCTATCAAGTTGAGCGTTTGCCGCCTCTCGTGTCCCATCAGGCAGACAGTAGATTCTTCCACAACTGAGTGGAGAATCATCAGGTACTGGTACTTAAGGCTTTCCTCTTCTGCTCCAACAAAATGGTTCCACAGGTAGTTCTCCAATTTGGCTCTCTGTTGGCCTATGTCAGGAAAGTCTATGAAGAAGCGTGAGCACATATATCGTTCGAGTATCTTTATGTGTTCTGGGTCCGCAGGTTTAAAAGACCTGACGAGGAGATTGCAGTATTTGAGGAGTCCTCCCCCTCTAATCTCTTCAGGGTGTCGGGTGGCAATAAGTTTTTTGTGCAGATGGTAGAGGGCTTCTTGAAAGTCGCCATAAACAGATTCTCCAACCACTGTCGGGTAGAAGTTTTCTCCAATGGCAAGCTCACTGCATTCGTAAAAGAGAAGAAGCGAATCTAGAACAATTTGGAATGAGTCAACTGAGAATTCGAATGGCCTCTTCATTGAGTCGACAAATTTTAGCTCAACATTCCTGTGACCACGAGAATTTCCGAGAGAAATGAGAGACCACTTGTCCCCGTCATGATTTACTTTCACCATTTTCCCGACGTATGCTTCTTTCATACTGCAAGTAGTGATCCGTTTGCGGCTCACACCCTCGGGTAACAGATCAAATAAGGAACTGAGTACAGCGGTTTTCACTTTTTCGAAATTTCTCCCAGAAGAGAGCTCGACTCCAAATATGAGGTCCAAATCATTGTACGGCGTGGATTCGGTTGCAAGAACATGAGTTGCTGCCCCACCATTCAGCCTGATGTCACGTACTTTAAGGCCAGCACCACCTGCCACAGGTTCGGCTTCTAGTTTACTTCGCACAACATTGACAAGGTCACGAAGCCTCACTTCCAATGTTGGAAAGTTACCACGTCCATGGATGCTAACGACTTCGTCCATGAGGTCGTTGAGGCGTCTCACCTGCTCGTAACTGAGGACAGCCAAGCGCTGTTGGCCAGAAAGACTCTCCATATTAGCTGGAACCCGCCACTCACCTCCTACTTCTAATGAACCACACTGAAACAAACAAAAAAGATGCTATTAGTTAACAATGTAAAATTACAAAAAGAAATTGAAATAAGTTGCAAAAATTATGATGTTAAAGAAGGAACTACAAATACTCATAAAACATATTTTATCTTTTCTGAGGTATTATGAAACAATAGAAAATATTTAGCTCAGTTCTTTCTATACATAACATCTTAAAGCTTAAAAAATAAAAATATATCATATGTATACTAATTGTAAGAAGAAATTAGACAAAAAATTTGAAGATAAAATAAAATAAAAAAATTATTGTTTTTTTCGTTCAGTTCTTACTATGATTGTATTGAGAGAATTCTCATTAATATATAGGCCTCCCTATTGAATCAAACATATGTACACCAAAATGATAGGTGAAAAATAAAGAACATTAAAAAAGTAATATTGAGGGATAATTAAAAACTAATGGCATCTTTATTTCCTGTTAATGGTTAAAATGAAAAACAACTGGTAGCCTTACACTTAGTGAAATAAATGACCCAGGTAGTGATTTAAATAGGCCATTAGTACTTTACTCATTAACATAACAATTGAAAAGAGATGCGGATACTATTTTAAAGGCCATAGTCGCGAGATTAGAATACACTAGGCCTAGAAAAAAAAAATACAAATCGAAGGTTAAACTTTAATTTAATAAAAAATGAATCAAATGACAAGTTAACAGAGCATAAAAAGTCATATTTTTCAAAAACAAAAATAAAATGAAAACGTATCTTAAAATATACTCAGTAACAATATTTCTTCCTCTATTTTATCTATACTCCGATTCTTAATTAATGATTTATTTTACTAATAAGAACTATTAACTTAATAGTTATAAAAAAATAAAAGGGTTGATGATTAACAGATTCATTATTTTATTTCCTACAAAAGGTTCAAAGCCATTTTGGTTAAAAAAATAATAAAAATAAAGGATGTCTTTATAATATATTTATATTTTTAGTATATTATTTTATTTTTTTTTAACCAGAAAAGTTGTCTATATAAAGTAAAACATTACAACTCTCTTTATCTTATGGGCAGTCAAATAATTTATAAGGTCCAAGAGAACTTGAATTATTTAAAGATTTAATAATTTATACTAAAGTAGAAAGAATGTCCTCTTCCCCAATTACAATATTTAATTAATTAATCAAAATAATGATTAATTTCTTTAATGGGAAATCATTTTATTAAAAACAAAAGACTGAAATAAAAAGTATTAAGCAGACTACACAGAGCAGTAATGATGTTAGACAGGGTTAGTTCAGAAGATCTCCGATAGATGTCAGCACCTGTACAGTTCTGAACCACATCAGTAGTTATTTGTTAACCGTTTTTTTTTTCTTATAAAAAGATATATTTATATTGTTATTATTATTATACTACTTTATAATAGGTAAGGATTATCAATACAAATAATTTTATCAATAATTAGAATAATGTTATCTCGCTTTGTTTTCAAGAATTATAATATAAATAGTGGAGACAGAGACTATGGGAACAGAGAAATATACAAATGGTTATTTTACTAAGCTAGTATTTTTGTTTCTTGGTTTTGATAATTTACTTCTGATGTCAGTATCAAGAGAAATAAAATAAATCAGAGCTTGAAATGGAAAAAAACCGAATCTTTTAAAAGTTTCGATACCACTGGAAATGAAAATTTCTTTAACAATAAATTGTTGATAGTTTTCAGTTCTTTTGGAGCTAGAACTGTTTTCCTTGTGACTTAACCATAAAGGTTTTAAAGAACTTGTATTTTTTTAAACTTTTATTTTTGTTGATTTCACTAAAAATTCCATCCAAAGAATGGATTGTATTTTTAACCACTCAAAAAAACGACACATAACAATCATTAATTTAAGACAATTTATAACCTCAAATCTAAGCTCAATTACTGTTAACTTTTCATTTAACGGAACTTTTTTTAAGAACTTAAATAAATAAAAGTTGAACTTTTACCATAAATCTAGAACTTTAATAAAAAAAGTTTTAACCTCTGAAATAAATAGTTTGGTTTAGCAATAATGTTGCTGTTAGTTAAGTTAGATATTTGCGTTTCCCATAGTTTGTGAAATGTCTAAACGCACCTTTATATTTGTTGGATTATAATAATAATAATTTAAAAAAATGTTTAGAATATGGAATATAGCTTTTTTTTATAAAATATAAGTTTGTCAAATTGGAATTTAATGAAAAAAGTGGAATACAGATAATTTTTATAACACTTAAAAATGATCCCTTCTAAATAGCTAATACTATAATAATAGAAATAAAATTTAACATTCTCAGGGGGTCTTTACGTCAATATGAGGAATAAAAAACTCATTTCAGAATAATTAATTTTACTTATAATTTTATACTTAATAAAATTTTTAAAAAGTTGTGCATTATTAATGTGTAAAAAAAAAAATTCTCAGTTTAATCGATTAATACGAAAGGAAGGGATATTCAGTATTAATCAAAGGTCATCAGAAAGTTAATTACGAATATCAGACCATTTTTGACCCACACTCATTATCAATGATCCTGTGAAATATTAAATTAAAAAAAAAAATCTTACATGATAAGCAATTTAAAATTCAACAATTTAATAAATGAATAGGTATGTATGTGTATAAAAAGGAAATATTTAATTAATGAGGTCATTTCTCATTATTTTAATATAAATTAATTCATTAATTTTAAAGTGGACATTTCTCTTAGGGAAAGCCTAGTCAACAACAAAGATAAAGATCTACTCTAAAATCAAAGAATTGATTTATATTTAAAATAATGACAAATCTTATGGGCAAATGAGGGAATATAAAGATAATAGTTTGAAGATAGGATGAAAAATCCCGAAACGTTACATATAAAATAATCTCCCTAAGGATTTAGGAGCTAATATTTTAAAGCTTAAGAAAAAATACATAAATTTTATTTCCTACCACTATTAGGAATACGAGATAAAATCCTAATTTTGTACGAATAATGTTTCACTATGAAACATTATTTATGATGAAAACTCATTACTACTTTCACTATAAAAAAAAAAAAAAAAAAATGGGGCATTTTGTCTGGTCATTAATATTAAACTTATCAATATTTTATGAAAGAAGAAAAATCTGAAGAAATTATGATACTTTTAGACAATAAAAAAATATAAAATAACATGTTCTTAATAGCCTAAGGATTTTGTAAGAAACCAGATATAAAGAAAAAAATCTTACAATGTCGATTTCGTAATAAGAGTTATATTCATGAAGGAGGAAATCTAGTACAAGATAACTTTATCAGTTACAAAAAAAAAAAAAAAGAAACTATTAAAATTATATAATGAAAAATAAAAAAAAAATAAGATCATAAATAATTTTTATAAATTCGAAAATCATGACAGCTTTTTTTAAATTTGGTAATAATCATTATAAAAAAGCTGAAAACATGAATTTGAAAAAACAAAACAAGAATCCCCAGTAAAATTATTTAATTGACGGTAATTGCAAGTAATTCTTTTCAAAGCATCTCTATATAATTCCAAGGGATGATATAAATATATTAGGAATTTATTAGTAATTATAAATCATAGAACTTAAAATATTGTTTTAGAAATTAGAATATCCAGAATTTATTTCGGATATTTTTTGTTAGTTAATCATTTGAAAAAACATATAATTATAGTTTGAGAACATTTAGTTACATTCACATATAATTAAGATTCATTCGAAAATAAAAATGAAACAAAAGCGATAAGATAAAGGCACCCCAACAGTTATCAGCTTTCGCGGTGATAAGAGCCCAATGAGCTACGTGATAACTCTAGTTCATGAGTAACCATCAATTTGGTTAATTCAAAAAATAGTAATAAAATCTGAAGTGACATGCATGGATTATAGAATTTTCATTAAAAAAAAAAAATAAATAAAGTACGATACGAAATAATCAAAATTATGTGCGGTGCGCGCATCACGTAACTTTCAATTACTATCCAACTTAGAATAGATATAGGGATAATTTATATTTCATATAGGATGATTCGATCGATGGAAATATAAATGTTATAATTCCATAATAAGTCAATAAAAATAATATTGAAATAAATTTATATAAAACATTATTTTTTAAAAAAACGAAATGCATTTAAAGAAGAGAAGCCTTAGCCGCTTACAAAAAAATTCTTGAAGTCAGGCCAAAAGACTGAGTGAGACCTTGACAACCGACCCAAATCCTTAAAGTCCAATATATCTAATTTCCTAAGGTCTAAAACGGTAATTGAAAATGTCAACCACCCTAGTGATTTAGCACCGCCTAGGTCTTAGCAAACTAGGGCATACGTTTACGCCAGAACACAGGCGGATCTACGAGGGGGAGGCTTTCGGGTTGAAGCCCCTCCCCCCCCCCCCAAAATGGTAAAATATAACCATGTTTTCCAGATATTAATAATATTAAAATATTAAATACTATCTCTTAAATTATTCTTGTTGGTGTAATTATATTTGATAGACTTCAAGAACCATTTAAAAACACTATTTCATATAGGTAGTTAATTTCTTTCCTTTTTTTTTTCAAATTAATTATAGTTATATGTATATGAAAAAAAAAAAAATCTTTTGGGCTGAAGTCTCCCCCCTCCCCAAAATAAATCCTGGATCCGCTAGTGCGCCAGAACGTATACTGTTATCGTAAAGTATCCACTTTTCATCACAAGTAACAATTCTGGACAGAAAAGAGTCGTATTTGTTTAATCAAAGAAGTGCAATTAAAGCACAAACTTCATAACGCTGATTTTTTTGGCTGTTGTTGAACCCAACGTTTAAGCTTTTTTATCTTTCCTATTGCCTTTGAGGTGGTCATCGACGGTCAATTTGCTAAGTTTAAGTTTCTCTGGAAGTTCTCGAACAGTTGTTGTGGACTTTCCTTCCACCAAATCCCGCAAAACATCGTCATCAAAACAGAAAGTCCTTCCA